ATGCCTTTGGAGTGGTGGGAGGGGGACAGGTGTGCTCAAAGCCTGAACATACACTGAAAGTCAGTATTCGTATTTTTCAGATGAGTAAATAGATATGTAGACAGATTAGATGATTTTCCCTAGGCTATACAGCTAGGGAAAAGTCAGAATTAGAACTAAATACCAGGTCACCAGCCCCATAAGTGAGGCTTTCTCCATTACACAGTGATACCATAAGTGTCTCATCTGCACTGGGCACTGTGCTAGGAGATGTGTGATTGTGCAGTGGGCTGGCAGGGATGACTGCAGTTTGCTATGCGAAAAAGTCTAAAACAAGGTTTTTGGATCTCCACCAGCCCTTTCTTTGTATGCTTGGAAAGGTCTTTGCCAACTTAACATTATAATTGGGCTAGAAGCCTGAAAGCTTCTGATAAGAGTCTCAGCTATGTGCCATGACTAAAATCTTGCTGGTACTCAAGGCAAGAAGCTACCCTCTGTGGATCTGAACAAGTTATTCCTAAAAGAATAAACCTTCCTTCCCCTACCCACCCTCATGTGCATCTTAGCCACCACTAGACAGACACTGAGAAGGATGGGGACTAAGAATCTAGGCTAAGAATTTAGTACACTCATTCCTAGAGCAATAACTCAAATATATTTTCTTCAAGTAGCTAAAGAAAGAGTCATGAATTCAGTGGATATAACTCAGCCCTGGGTCCAGTTCTTATTTTTTGCAGTTCCAGAAAGAGCTCTATTTAGGAGCAGGAGAATAAAATTGGAGCCCTCTTACATTGCTAGTGGGAATGTAAAATGTTGCAGAATGTTGCAGCGATGTGGAAAACAGTTTGGCAGTTCCTCAAAAAGATAAACATAGAATTAATATATGAACCAGCAGTTCCACTCCTAGATATATACATAAAACAATTGAAGACAAAGACTCAGATACTCATATGCCAATGTTTGTTGTAGCATTATTTACAATAACCAAATGGTGGAAACAAACCAAGTGTCTGTCAACCTGTAAATATTAATAGATAAACAAAATGTGGAATATCCAGACAATGGAATATAATTCAGCCCTAAAAAAGAATTAAGTTCTGATATGTGCTACAACATGGATGAATCAAGAAATTACTATGCTAAGCGAAAGAAGCCAGACACAAAAGGACAAATATTGTATGATTCAACTTATATAAAATATATAGAATAGGCAAATTCATAGAGACAGAAAGTAGATTAGAAGTTAGCAGGCAGAGAGAAAGGAACGCTTATACACTGTTGGTGGGAATGCAAATTTGTACAACCCTTATGGAAAACAGTACGGAGATTCTTCAAAGAACTAAAAGTAGACCTACCATTCAATCCAGTAATCCCACTATTGGGTATCTACCCAAAGGAAAAGAAGAATTTTCATCAAAAATACACCTGCACTCAAATGTTAATTGCAGCAGCACAATTTGCAATTGCAAAGATGTAGAATCAACTCAAGTTCCCATTAATCATGAATGGATTAATAAAATGTGAAATATGTATACCATGAAGTGTTAGAGGCAAGGACCCTCAAAGACCCTCAACTCCCCTATGACTCGTCCTACGCACGGGCTTCGCCCAGGAAAATTCCAGCTATAGCTCCGAGAAGAATGCATTCCATGACGTGCTGACCACGGGATGCTCCAGGGAGTGCTAACTGCAATTGTTCCCGACCACCTGCCAGGTTGGAGTTGAGTAATCAGTCACAAACAGGATACCGATAAGACGCTGATTGGGGCTGATTAACCCAGACCCAAGCCTCATGGTCACCCCACTCTATTTTTCTGTTTCTACTTCCTTGTTTCTGTATGCTTATAAAACCTACAAAGAATCCAAGTAAAGCAGACCTTGACAATCCTTTGCTTGGTCTCGTTCCTTTCTCTCGCCCATCTCTTTCAGGCACGGTCCCCCTTGACCCCACGAGTAACAGAAGGTCCCACGGGCCGGGACAATGAAGTACTACTCAGCCATAAAAAGGATGAATTAATACTTTTTGCAAAAATCTGGATAGAACTGGAGACCATTCTCCTAAGTGGAGAATCTCGAGAATGGAAAAACAGACACCATATGCATTTGCTATTAAATTGGAACTAAATGATGAATACACATAGAGGGAAGTAAAACTCAGTGGAAATCAACCAGGGGATAGGGGTGGGGAGGGGAGGGGCAAAAACCTACCTAATGGGTACAATGAACACTATTTGGGTGATGGACACACCTATAGCTGAGACTCAAGAGTTACAAAAGTGACCTAAAGCATTTGTATCCCCTTAATATTTTGAAATAATAAATAAATAAATAACAACAAAAAAAAAGCTAACAGGGCTGGAAGATGGGAGAAAGGGGAATTGGGAGTGATTGTTTAATGGGTACAGAGTTTGTGTTTGGGGCAATAAATGAGTTTGAGACATAGATAGTGGCAATGGCTGCACAAGATCAGAAACACACTTAATGGCACTAAATTATACATTTGTTGGTTAAATGGAAAATTTTATGCTGTACACACATACAGAGATACAAAACACATACATAATGCACATGTGACCACAATAGAAAAAAAAAGTTTTAAAAATGGTAGTGGGAGCTGAGCACAGTGCTGTAATCCCAGCACTTTGGGAGGCTGAGGCAGGAGGATCACTTGAGGTCAGGAGTTTGAGACTGAAAAGGTGTGATTCCTTCACCTAGTGGTTAGGATATACAGAAGTAAAAGTTTATTTATTTTTTTGAGAGAGAGAGAGAGAGAAGGAGGGAATGGCCATGGCACACAGTGGAAGGAAGGAAATGGTGGGCCACTGAGGGAAAGTTGCTTGGAGTTTTCAAGGGTAAAAATGGTTTTTCCCCCCTCTGCTTTAGCAGACTAATAACAGAAGCAGTGACAAAGTTGTTGCTGGTGCTATTTATTTTTTCCTTTCTCTCTGAGGGTGACTTTATCTGAGTCCTTGGAATCTGGTTTTTGGTGGGAATTGAGGCAGAGAGTTGGAGTGGGGAACTCGTACCCTGCTGTCCACTTAGGGGTCTTCGAGGCTGAGAAAGAGCTCTTAGAGATAACAAGTTAGGCCACAGCTGTTTAATTAAACATAACAAAGAGCACCTGTACTGTGAGTTTATTAGTAACATCACCTTTCAGAGACCAGCCTGAGCAAAATAGCAAGACCCCGTCTCTACAAAAAAAAAAAAACAAAAAATAGAAAAATTATCCGGGCATGGTAGCGCATGCCTGTAGTCCCAGCTACTCAGGAGGCTGAGGCAGGAGGATCACTTGAGACCAGGAGTTGGAGGTTGCAGTGAGTTATGATCATGTCACTGCACTCTAGCTGGAACAACAGAGTGAGACTCTGTCTTTTGAAAAAATAATAGTGGAAGAGATATATTTGTGACATATGGAGCAGGATTTCTCAAACCAAACATAAAAATTGTTGCAGTAAATAAATAGAAAATAAATCCAACCATGTAAAAGAAAGAGCTTCTGCTATTGGGGAAAAAGAGAAAGAAAGAAAAAGAAAACAGGAGATTAAGAAGAGGAATGAATGCACTGAGAATAATGTGATGTCCTAGAGATAAAGAATGTTTTTTTCTCCTTGTGGGTTTAGACTGTCTCAACCCTAAAAATGGATGTTTGTCCTTTGAAGGGTGTGTGTGTGTGTGTGTGTGTGTGTGTGTGTATGTGTGTGTATGTGTGCATGTGCACAGTTAGCTCACCATTTAGACAATCAGAAGGCTCTGGCATGCTCGACTTGCCCTGTGCTGCTTCCTGGACTTTCATTAAGCTCCCATGAAGTGTAACCCTGGACTGAATGACCCAGACTTGGAGAAATGACCCACCAGGGGCTGCCGTGGGTCCCACTGTGAGACCAAACCTGTAGGGAAGGGCCAAGTTTTCCTGAAAAGTGCATGATAATTGGCTGTAATTAAAGTGGTGGTTATGAGCACAGGCTCTGGATCCAGACTCCCCAACTCCACACTTGCAAGAGGTATGATAACAGACATGTTATTTATTCTATCTGCCTCCCTAAGTTTCTTCATCCCTAAGATGGGTATCATGACAGTATGCACCTCATAGGGATTTGGTAAGGATTAAATTACTTAAGGTGTGGAAAGCACCTAGAAGTATCTGGCATATAGAAAGTACTCAGTAAATATTAATAGTAGTTCTTAATATCAATTATCTGCATGTTGGAGGTAAAGGAGACCTGAGGGGAAGAGAGGTAGGTTAGGACCAAAGTGTGCAATGAAGGGAACTCCAGGGAACCATGGAATGCTTGGGTTGTGATCAGCTCTAAACACACCATTCTACACTGCAATTTTTCTGAATTATCTATAGCACTTCATTAAGCCTGAAATTCCTGCAGTCTGCTACAAAGTAGGGGTGTTATGGAGAATAAAGTGTGAGGACACTAAAGGAAAGTGAGGCCTGCTCCATATCAATCCCTCTGCCCCTGCCCAAGGAGAAAGAAGCCCCTCTCCCAGGGACGGTGTCAGAGTTCTGGGAGTGAAGTGAGCAGGTCCCATGGTGGAGCCAGGAGCACACAGAGGTGCCATGAGAGACACTTAGGGGCCTAGGAGAAGGCCACAGTGATCCTGGATTCCCTAGAGGATGCAGTTGGAAAAGGAAGGGCTGGAGTGGAGGGGCAGACGCTTGGGTTACCTGGCAACCATTGTGTCCTAATTTCTTCTCTATTTCTACCTGCCTGACCATGTGAGTTCACCAAGCATTAAGAACAAACCCTAGTCCAGGAGGCGTGGTCTGGTCTTCTCCATCCAGTAAAGAGTGATTAATAGCAACCCCTACTTTCATACTAGCTCAACAGGAAGTCAGCCCCAGTGAGGGCATCTGAGAACCCTGGAAGGATTGGTGGTGTGGGTTCCTCTAGGATATTGCCCTTCATTCCTTCTCCAGGCCGCATCCTCCCCCCTTAGGTAAGTGGTTTGTCTGTCAAACCATCAGGTAGAACATTTCGAAGGTCACAAGACAAAAGCAATTGCCAGTTTGCTTTGTTTCCAATTGCACTTTTATTTCCACACAAAAAAATCTACTTGTAGAAGGTAGAGAATTGCCATGAATACCACACACCATTCAGACTTAGCAGAAAGCAAATGAGGGCACGAGATGGATGGACTCAGCTGCCACGGTCCCCAGTGACTGGGAAGGGAAGGCAGAGCAGATCTAACAGGGTAGCTGGATCTTGTGGGGACAGGAAAGCCCAGGGTCAGGGGAAAAACAACACAGACACTGCAGGGGGGGCCTTCAGCGAGGCAGGGGTGCACATGCTGGTGGCAGGGAGGCCCTGGCTTCCCTCCCCTTGCCCAAGCACACCACATCAATTGGGAGAAAGTTTGCCCGCAGTGTTCCCAGCAGCAATGGGCAGACACACTCCTAGCAGCAAGAGCACAGAAACATGGTAGGAGCAAAGGGCAAAGCAGTCTGGGGGTTATGGGCTGATTTTCAGCCCCAGACACAAAGCCAGCTCAGACTTCTGAATTTTTCCATCCTTGTTCACGTCGCAGTGACGCAAGAGGATTTCCCGGAACTTGTCAAGGTCCACCCCACTGATGCTGGGCTGAGGGTGACAAAAGTTACATGTCATTAGGCAAGCAAGTGCCAGTCTCACCCTTTACCACCCTCCCTGAAGCTCCCTAAGCTCAGGGGGTGTCCTGCCTTCTGAGAGCGCTTCAGAGGAGCCAGGCCACGGGGGAGTGAGGAAATGAGCCTGTCTCCTCAGCCTGCCAAATGCTGCCAAGTGTAAGTTTTCTGCATTAGCTTCATTTCTCAGCATGTCCCTTCTGGCAAAAGAAAAAAAAAAAGAAAAAGAAAAAAGTCTATTTCCACATCACTTCCCTGCAGTTCTTATAGAAAGCCTACCTTATTAGCAACCATAATAAAGATATTTTGCTTCAAAGTAGAGAATCATGATCATAAATTCCATCTCGCAACACTGATGAGAGAAGACACATTTTATTATCTCCCTGCGGGAGTTTTTTGTGACTCTCATTTTTAAAAAGGTTATACTGAATGGAAATCTAACTAGAACATTATGTTGTTGAGCTAGGGATATAAAATTTATTCCAAAGGATATTTTATAGGGGCTAAGAAGAAATGTTAGCTAGAAATGTGATGCATCCTAGCTAGGAAAAGTTTTTGACCTTAAGCTCAAAAGCCTGCAAAGTGAGCAATGCTTAAACTACTTGATTCTCCATAGGTTATTTCATTTAATTTTCACAATAAGCCTAGGAGGTAAATAATTACACCTCTATTACAGATGAGGAAACAGAGGGTCAGAGAGAGCTTAAATATCTTGCCAAACTAAAAGTTGTGGTAGCATTTTTGATCCCAAGCCTCTGACTCCAGCTGAGTTCTTATTCCACTATTTCACACCATTGCCACGGAGGAAAGGCTGGCCTAATGAAGCCATGTGAATTGTGATGAATCTAAACTTTAAAGTCAAAGTGCAGAGAGAAAGAGAAACCCAACTAATAAGATGTCCAAGCTCCTTGATTACTGCAATAATTTTATGAGTGAACGGAGAAGACAACTACCTGCAGGGTTTGATTTCTGGGACACTGAGCAGAGTTTCCCACCACCCAAACCTGCCCCAAGCTTTCCTCACTTCCAAAGAAATATTTAAAAGATCTTCAGTAGGGAACAAAACTTTTCATTCCTTAACTAGAGAGGTACATTAAGACACAATAATTTGCACTGTCCAACAGGGTCAATGATACCAAATCTATCCCTGATAGCAAGTTTTAAACAGGGAGAAGGATGGAAGAGAGCAACAGAAACTGGGAATAAACACCAGAGTGGTGTAGGATTCAGGGAGATAGCAGGAGGTCAGAGGATCTGGGGCCAGAAGATAAACTTGGCCAAATTCATTTCTATGTCGAGGGTGCCCTGAATGATGGGACTGTGAGGCGGAGATGTAACACATTGGCAATAGGTTCCCTTGGTTGGGACTCACAAGGATAGTTCCTTGGCAATACCAGGTAAGTATAGGTGCAGCCCAAGGAAATATGGCTCAGAGATCCTGAAAAAGGTATGCTGCACTCCGAGGCCCCATGTTAGCTCATTTGTTGTACAGTTGCAAAGTGGGGATGTTGCTTTTCAGCATCTCCAATGACTTGTTGCTGTAACTTTTCTCCAATAAGTGGCACCTTGCCCTGGGATCCTTTTGGCAAATCCTACTCTTAGAAAAGACTCAAGTGGTAGTCACTTACACATTAGCACGAATTCATTTGCCAATGTACTTACCTCATTCAAACTATTCTAAGTTTTTTTGTGAATTGAAGAATAATAAGCTTTGTTTCCTGCCATAGTAATTATTTCCTTCAAGCAAGTGGGAAATATTTTTGATGTGTGAATGTGTGTGTATGTCGGGGCGTGGGAGGGTATAAATGTGGATGTATGTAAGGGAAGTTTCTTTAAACCTTTAAGTATATTTTTAATGCTGGGCAACTCAGTATGAGTCAGGAGCATGTGTCACCTGAAATCATTAGGGTCTCAGTCTTAATAACAGTTTTAATAACAAGTCACCAATTTAAGTTCAGGTAGGTTTCTGATTTAAGGGCTCTATACATATTACCTCTAATCTTCAGAACAACCGTAAGGGGTTGTATCTATTTTCAATGTTAATTTACAGAGGAGTAAACTAAAGCACAGAGAGGCTAATTAACCTACCCACTGTCACACAGCTGGCACATATTGGCACCAGGCTACAAACTCACAGGGAGGCCCCAGTGTGCATCACTACACTGTGTCATGATCTTTTATCTAAAAATGTTACTTTTTTCTCATTCATTGCATGGGAAAGTGTGAAAGTGGACTTGAGGTAAAAATCGATTGAAAACTGCTTATCTGCCTCCTTTAATCCTGGCAATAGGGGGGACCTCTGGGGCCTGGCCCTCTCTGTCCATTGCTTGCCCATAGTAGGTGCTCAATTACATCTGTGGAATTGGTGAGTGACTGTCCTCAAATGCAGTCTTCATGTTTTTGTCACATGCCCTCTCTTTCCTGTACATTCCAATTATCTTGAAACAATGAAAGCAAGCTCCAAGCCCTCTATTAACCAGCACTCCCCAAATCTCTGTCCTAGAGGCCCTGCACCATGTTCTATTAGAAGGACTGCATTATAGTTTTGATGGTGGTAAGTGCATTTTATTGTAATCCACTCATGATGATTTTCTACCAGAAAAAAAAAAAAAAGAATATTTAATTCTCCAGAACCTCATTCTCTAACTGTGCAAAGTTACGATTTTCTCTGTCTCCACTTTGCTATTTACTGGCCACACAGGTGTCTGAAAACATTGAGTTGCCAGGCAGAGGCCAAGGCATTACTGCTTAAGATGTCAATCCAGGCCCCTACCAATAAAGCTCTGCTTGTCACCAAGAAATAATGATAATAAATCCCACATCCAGGCCAGTCCTGTCCCCTGTTTCTTCCCATTATCACCTGCCACTGCTATTTAAAATGAAAATAAGGGATTATGTTGGTTTTCCTTTAGGATATTTCACCAGGCAAATGGATGTGACTCCTCGGATATGAAGGAAGTCTCCTAGAGAGTGTCATACCAGGTGGTTGTGCTGTCATTTGAGAAGCTCAGGAAGAACTTCTTGGGTTTGCCAACTGTCTTCCCATCACCAGTTCCCACAATGCCCAACATTCTTTCGCTAGATATTCACTTTTTTGGATTACATTGCCTTCTTCTTGCCACTCATCCTCTCTTTGAAAGGTTGCTTATCAGCCAAGGGATAGCAGCACATTAAGTCACTAACATCATAGTGAGAAAATATATGATGTCTATACCAGAACCTTCTTTGATAGATAAATCTGATTCAAAATGAAGTCACCATCATTGGCTTTCTGGGTAGGGAGGAGAAGAAAATCAGGGTTGGAGGAAAGGACTTCACAGAAGGAAATGAGAAAGCATGTCTGCTCATTCATCAAAAGTTGGCTAAAATTTGACAATGGGTGCCAGAAATTGTAAAGTGTACAAACCACTTGACTTAGTAATTCTATTCCCAGGAAAAGGCCAGGGACAGAGGAAGATTTATGCACAAGGATATTCATTATAGTGTTATTTTGAATCACAGACATGGAAAACAATCTAAATTATTCACAATAGGGGAATGTTTAGGTAAGTTATGATCTAACTAAAGATGAAATAGTATATGGTTGCTGAATGACCATTACTATTATTCTATTAATATAATAGATTCTATATAGTATACTATATATATCATATATAATATCATATTATAAATACTACTATTTGGTATAATCTCAACTATATATATAAAACATACATAGGAGAGAAACCAGTTCATAGTGAGTCTTCGAGTGTAGAGGTTATGTTTCTGTATTTTTTCTCTCTTTTCAAATTTCTCTATGATGTATTTATTATTTCTACAATTTAAAAAGTAATAATAAAAATTGTGCTAAGGGCTAGTTCTTTGGAGAAGCACATTTTAGATTTACTCCTTTAGATTAGGTAACGTCCCCTCTTGTCAACCATCTTCCTGTCAATAGCAAAGAAAAGGAGATTCAGTGTCTAGCAGGGAAAAGAAGGAACTTTAGGAAAGGCCTGGGGGCAGGAACCCTCCTCACCCCCAGGCAGACATCAGGGTCATCTCTGGCAGCCCATTTGTTTGGCTTCCAATATTATTGTTCACATTTCTACCTCTTCTTGGGAAATCTTGGATTTCTTGCCTTTGCACTTTCTAGTTTAAGCTGTATATTCTTGTGTTGATTTTTGTACTGTGCTAAGTGAGTTGCAGGCTCTTAAAAAATCTTTTGCTGAAATTATTGTGCATATCAATGGAATATTACTCAATCCTAAGAAATGACAATGAGCTAGCGCCATTTATGCTATCCTGGATTAAGCTTAAACCTGTAATACAAAGCGAGACAACACAGGATTTGGGAAAGGGGCTATACACCTATTCGCCATCAAATTGGTACTGATTGACTAAAACTACGGTGCTCAAAAAATGGTAGTGTTCAACAGGGATTGGAGGGGGGAGACCCACGTATTAAGAAAGTGGCGAGCATTGTAGGGGGAGAAGGGATTACCTCTATCCCTTTTTAGGGAGAGATAAAGACATACATTGTAACCAAAATGTCTGAAAAAAAATCTGTAATCGGGAAGTGGGCAGGTGGAAGGGGGGAGGAGGGGAAGGGTATGTACTCACACGGGTGGGTTCAGTGCACACTGTCTGGAGGCTGACACGCTAGAAGCTCTGGCATAGCGAGGTGGAGGATGGGGGGCAGGGGCAAGATATGTAACCCTACCAATATTTGTACTCCCATAATATGAAGAAATAAAAAAAATTATTGTGTATATGATTAACAATATTGTATCATATACTTAAAATTTTGCTGTGAGGGTATATGGTATGTTAAGTGCTCTTACCATAAAAGGGAAAACAAACAAAAAAAAGGGAGGGGCAGGGCTGGAGAAACTTTTGCAGATGATGGATAAGTTTATGGCATTATAGGTGATGATGGTTTCATAAGTGTATCCGTATTCCCGAACACATCAAATTATATATAAAAGTACAGCTTTTTTACATCAATCATATATCAATAAGTTGGTTAAAAATAAGAAATTGTGTCTGTTGCTTCAGGGACTTCCTGTCTCTTCAGACTGACAGAGGACTTGGATACCATTTTTCAGAGCTTGAGAATTGGGGTTTTTTGGTAATCAAATAATCTTGTTAATACAGAGTCAACATATGCATCATGTATGGTTGTTCAAGAATTAAAAGACAATAAAATAAGCTTACTTCAGCATTATTACTGCGAACATCAAAGACCTTGACCCAGGCTGTAAACTTAGAAAGTGGGTCAACTCCTTGCTGATCCGATGATCATTCTCTGATAGTTGCTTTTAATATAAATTTCAGATATTGATTTGTTTACTTGTCAATGAAGCTTTCTTATAAAATATAAATAAAGAAAAAAGTCACAGGAGAAGACTCTTTATAAAGCCAAGAAATGTCAGATTCAACTAATGGTCATTCTCTTGGCTACATCTGTCAAATTATATGGTGAATATTTTTAAAGAAACCTAAAAGACTAAGAAAGATCAAAAATAAGACTAGGAAAAACACAATAAAGGTATGCACCTTCAATTATCTGGCATCAGAGGAGAATCAACTATTGTGTACATACTTTTTAGCTCAACAAATCATCTGGAGAACCCTGATAAATTACTTTTGTATTACTGATCACAGTCTGACTCAGTCCTTAGAAACTAGCTCTGTCTCAAATTGGCTGCTGCTTACACTGGGAGGTGCCTTTTTGCCGCCTCAGCAGCTCCACTGAAATAGAGAGGCAAGGACAAAAGGGGTGGGGATCTTCTGATTTCCCATGGAGGTGATAAGAGTTCATTAAAGAGCCAGGCTGGCCTCTGCTCTCCACTAATCTTTTTGGTTGGTCTAGAACTTGTCCTTTGTTTTAATTGTCTCTGGAAACAAAATGTCTACTATGTTGTTGGTTTGGATTTTACTTCCATCTTCTCCTATGGACCTTTGGAAACTATTGTCAAACTCAGTGACAACTGAAAGGCAGAATCATTGAAAATTCTTAAGATTATCCATATTCAAAAGTGATGATTTTTAAGAGCAAATCCAGCAAAATTACACTGGATATAGGTATCTGGGCTTTCTCTTAGAAAAATCATACAGAAATAGCAAAGATCATAGTAACTGAAGTTGTGAGAGCTATATCAGTTTCCAGTTTATTTGTGATATAGTCATAACAACTAATATTTATTGAATTCTCAATAATAATCTAGTATTACAGATAATATTAGTCATGTAGCATAATACTTATATGCTTTATAAAGACTTTCTTCCATAATCTATATGAAAACATTATGGAGATAGGTTCTATAATAATTCCCATCTTTCAGATGCTAAAACTGAGGTTTGGAGATGCTAAGTGATTTGTACAAGGTCACATTGCCTGCGTGTGGTAAAACCTGGTCTGCAACCCAGGATGATCGGCTTAGAACCTGAATTCTTAGCTTGAGTTCTTATCAGCTTCTTGACTTTTACTTGTCTTTATTTTTAATATTTTTCTACAATATGCAGAGGTAATTTTATAATCAGAAAAGAAAGTAAAAAATTTTAAATTATGCATTCTAAAATTTTAAATTATGCATGTAAGTTAATTGCCATCTGACATAGTCATACCTATTTTTTAAAAACAAGCTGTCTTTGGCACAGTCTTCTTTTACATGATTATTTTGAACAGGATTGTCCAGTATAATGGCGTGGCCATGTGTTGAGCTGAGGATTCCTCTTGTGAAATTTCCTTTCAATTGCTAACTATTCTGAAGCTCAGAAATGTATTCTAAAGATGACAACAGCTTTGTTCTAACAAAATAACAAAGATCATTATTTTTGTAAATCATACTATATTCCAGGGACTGTGATAGATGTCTATGCTATTCCTAGTCTTCACACAGCCTTGGTAAGTAGATATTACTGTGCCCATTTGTTTGGACCTCATGACAGGCATCAGAGAGTTTAAGTAACTTGCCCACAGACATACTGATAATAAATGGCTGATCTGAAATTAAAGCTCAGATCTGCTAGAGTCCAAAGCACTGTCTACCATCTTATACTGCCTCATCTGCAAAAAGTTTTTAATTAATTCTTTTTATAGAAAAGGAAAGGAAAAAGAAGAGAGCAAAACTTAGGGCACAAAAGAGGAGTAAGAGCAGCCACCACCACCATGGCAGCCCCTCTGGAAATCACTATTGCAAAATCTGTGCATCAGATGGAAACTGATTCAAGCAGAGCTCAATCCCTCAGCCCTGTCCGGCTGCCTCCCACAGACTGGCAAAGATATGGGATGTCCGAAAATGCTTTCAGCAACAAAAGACACATCAGCGCCCCTCCACCCCTGCAAGTTTGTTTCCCTACAAATTTGAGATAAGACTAAAGAAGGAAAAAGAAAGATTCTTTTGGTTAAGGACTGATTGCTCACTCCAGCTGGGCATCCACACTGACTGCTAGGCTGCGTGTACAGACCATGGAAAAGCAGCAGGCCTGGGGGTGTGTATGGATCTGAAGCCCCCCGGCTCTACACTCAGGTGGTTACTGACCCCCAGCTCTACTGCACAGAGGTGGCCAGGCAGCTCTCCAAAACAGGCTTGCCGTCCCATTCATTCTATCAAAAGCAAATTACAACTCTAATTTGGCAAGTTCTTCTGCCATACAACTTTAATATCCCATAGATAATTACTCAGTTTGTAATTACAGAAGTCATTCTGGCATGAAATACATAATGAGTAGAATGAGATTTTCCTTTAGCATCCAATGTAAAAGGCAATAATACCACACCCATACCCATCACTTATTCTGGCTACGCAAATGTCGGTGAAATCTCCACAGAGGTTGCTCCTGTTGCAGGAGCAACAAGTGAAGGGAGAAGTTGAAGAGGCAAGGGACCAGTTGGGATGGGAACAACAAAATTTGGGAGTCTTAGAAGACATCTCAGTCACCCAGATGTCAGAAAGAATATTGCCCATGCCTGCTCAGTCACAGTATTTGAACTTCCTGCAGATTTATGCAAAAATTAATATCTGGATACCTTTTCTGTTGCAAGGCTCCATGGTTTCAATCAGATTTTCCAAGAGGTATGGAACTCCAAAAACAATCAATAATAGCTATTCTAATTCATCACCATCTGGGCCAACAAGGACACAATTATTTCATCCTGAGCAAACTTTTAAAATTTCCAAAAAATGCAAGACTACTAAATTCATTATTTACGTGGTCCCATGGAAAAGGAGGGATTGGAAATTATCTGCTTAACTGGATCACACAGCCAGTCAATACAGTTCACCAGGATCTCAAAGGAAATTGTTTTATAAAACATTGTCTACCTTACATAAGGCAGCTATGTAATGTAAATATAATCTAAATTGCATCAACCCCCCCACCACCACCACCAAACAGTAATGTCTCAACAGGTGAGTAACCATCTTAGACTAGGTGTTAGAGAAGCCCCTTGGCAAAAAAATATTAGAACCCTGAAGATGAAATTTATGACATAAAATTAAATTAAAATTTTTGTTATTCTAATAACTGAGTTCAGGGAAAAGAAGTAGTTTCTGTAATCAAAAAATAAAACAGTAAGATATTCATTGGCACTGCAGTGCTTTGGTAAAATAGATGACCTTTAAGTGATAATAAAAAGATGTCTCTATGGTAGTTTCATGTAATTTAAACTGCAAACAATCTAAAGAAAGCAAGGGAGGTTTGTTAGGTTTCATAGAAGTTCAAAGGTTATTAAATAGACTACATCCCTAGATTTTTTCTCCAACATTAACCTCCAGTCCCACTGGTTTCCACAAATGAACAATGGCACCCCCATTTCACGGTGAGAATAATCTGCACAGCTTCATGAAATCACCTGGACAAGCTCCATCATGTCTTTGACAAACCCATCCACTTCCGGGCCTTCTAGGGCTCCCGTTTTACTCTGAAAGACAAAAGATTCAATCACCCAAATATCATTTTCTGAAGTAAAAAAGCTAAAGAATAAATTAGGCAAATAGACCAAATCAGTATTCTTGTGTAACTGCAAACTGAGTTAGAAAATGGCATGTTCCAATTTATGTTTTTCATGTAGGATGTGAATGTTCCACATGAATTAAAATAACTCATTGGAAATAGCTCCATGTAGCCAAATGAGAAGCAGCAGTTTTGAGTTCCTTGGCTCTTGCAAATAGCATTCACATGACATATACTGACTTTACTTGCTTCACAGATACTAGGCTCCAGTTCAAATGTGTTAATTGTACATCATATTGATTCTCCGAAGGATAGGTTGAAATTTTTTTATTTTGTTTTATGATTTAGCAATGACTTGGTGATTATTGAAATACAGATTTTAAATCAAGGGAGACCACATTGAAAGAGCATATTAGAATTATGATTTAGTCTATACAGAGATCTTTATTGTTTCTACCCATTTTACAAACCCATGCAGGCCTGAACATCTATTAAATACAATACATACTAAAATATTTCAGTTTCTTCCCTTCAGTTCCACTTATGACAATTCATCCACTCTCTTCATGTTTTCTCAATCTTGAACCTTTAACGGATCATTTTAAAAATTCCATTCCCTTAGTGTATTTACCAAACACTTGTATACTCTCATGAAAGTTTTATAAATCTGAATCAATTTAATTTTCATAACAGCCCAATGAGATAAGTATTATTATTATCCTTATCACCCTAATTTTACAAATAAGAGAAACAAAGCACAGGGAGGTCGAGGAAATGCCCAAGGTCGCACGGCTAATAAGCCAGGATTCAAACCTAAGTAATTGGTCACAGAGGCCACATGCTTAACCACCTGTGTGCTACACTACCTCTCCCAGGTGAGACTCTTTTCTGCTCAGAATATGACACAGAGATATTGAGTCCGATTAGTTTTAGGGAGACATCTCTATGACCTTTCCCAACTTTCTGCTTTTTTTGCTTCCTGAATTATCCTACCAAGTCCTCAGGAAATTCAATCTCTTTGCCATACTTGGTGCCTTAGAATTTTTATTGTCTTCCCTCTAAAGAAGGATCAAATAATTGGTCCTATAAGAAAAATAGTTTTTATGACAAATAGGTGTGACTTTGCCTCTGTTTCTTTGGGTTAAATATGGGGGATTTTTTGTTTGTTTTACATACTATTATAAATGGACTTTTAGTACTATAAGGAGAAAACTTCTCTTAGTTTGAATCCAAGAAGCAAAAAAATATTGTGATTTTTTTTTTTCTTCTCAACCATAAAACACTCCTTTGGCTATTTTTACTTGATTCTCAGAAGCTATATAGAGAAGCAGAGGGTACTTTGGCTTAGAGACACAAAGTGAGATTGCTATTCATCATATAAGTTTGGGGTCTGTGGGTAGGATGACCCCACACAGGAGCTAAACAATCTTCCTACCCAAAGATGGCCAGCACAATATCGAGACACACTTACAACATCATAGTGGGCAAAGATTTTCTCAAAGTCTCTCTTCCTTTCTTCAGTAGAACAAGCCTGTATATGGACAAAAACTTAATGTCAGTCCAGCAATGTGAAACTTCAGTTGTACAATTTTTTTCAGGGTCCTGGGCAACTTTTATAAACTTTGAGTCAATGACCCTCAAGATTGCTGAATTCTACTCAGAGCTTTGTCACTTTCTAAATAAGTTATTAGATAAAAGGTAGGACAAATGGATACTTACCTTTCTTCTCTCCTCAAATTCAGAGAGAAAGATGAATGACATAAACCCATCTAGAGAAATGTCACTACTTACATCCATTTTAAATTGGAGAAGGAAGTTTTCCTGAAGAGCCAAAATCCTAAATGGAAAAAATGAAAATTCACATGATAATCTATCAGCTCTCAGTTATAAGCAAATTTATAGCTCTGGTGTGTGGAAAGAACAGACAATTTCCACACTGTCCCACAGAACAGAATAGGTGCTTAAAATGCAGGAATTCCTACATCACAAAAATAAAGAAATTAATTGGGAGAGACTCATAAGAATTAGTAGACACCACAGAGAGACTTAAAAATTCCTCGTGTTGAAAAATGACAGAGTATAGGCATCTGAAAATTCTCTCCTCCATAAAAGCAATGAGGAAGCTGTAAAAATAGTCAGAATAATTTTTTCAGAACTCTGGGAAATAGTTAAAATCTTACAATAATCTAGGGAGTGTTTATTCTGAAAAAATAGCTGAATCTTGGTAAGAGCAATGAAGGTTGTGGCATTTAACTTACCCCAACACATATTATATACAGAACCTGTTAGTAAAGACTGGGAGAGTTACTGGTTCCAGGCATTTAAGAAAATCTCTGTCCACTTACAAACTAACCATTGAGATACCGAACAGAGACTTCAATGGACACATGTGACAAAGAATACGGACTTTATACAATTAGTTCAGAAAAACCACTAAACAAATAAACAACAACAAAAATCATCAACAACAAACATATCCTATAAGAAATTCTAAAGGGAGTCCTTCAGGCCGAAATGAAGGGGATCCTAGACAGTAACTTGAATCCACAAATAAAGAGAAAAAATAAAGAGCACCAGTAGAGGTAACTATAGAAGCAAATATAAAAGACAGCATAAAAGTATTTTTTGTTTGTAACTTTTTTGTGCTATCTGATTTAAAAGGCAATTTTGTAAAACAATAATTAAAAATCTGTGGTTTTGGGCACACAATGTGTAAAGATGTAATTTTAACAACACGAAGGAGAAGGGAGGGATTTCAACTATTTATGATAGAAGTAACATTTTGGTACAATATTGAAATTAGTCAATATTAATCCAAAATTAGATTTGTTCTAAATTAAGATGTTAATCATAATCCCCCAGGCAACCACTAAGAAAATAACTCAAAAAACATACAATAAGAGAAATAAGTGAATTGAAATAGTACACTAGAAAATATCCATTTAACATAAAGAAGGTAATAATGGAGGAATTGAAGAACAAAAAAGACACAAGACACAGAGAAAACAAATAGCAAAGTAGCAAACAAATTCTAACTTATCAATAATTGCATAAAATATATGTAAATTAAATACTCCCCTAAAAGCAGAGATTTGCAGAATGGAAAGAAAGAAGTAAAACTGTATCTATTTATAAATGACACAATCTTGTATATAGAAATTCCTAAGAACTCCAACAAAAAACTATGAGAGCTAATAAACAAATAGCAAGTTTAGAGGATACGAGATCAATACAAAAATTCAATCACCAATCTAAAAAAGGAATTAAGAATACCATTCTCTTCAGCATAAAAAATAATAAAATGCTTAATAAATTTAACAAAAGAGGTGCAACTCATAGACTGAAGACTTCAAAACATCATTGAAAGAAATTAAAGAAGCACTAAGTAAAAGGAAAGACATCCCATGTTCATATATTGGAAGACTGAATATTGTTAAGATGAGAATATTCCCCAAATTGATCTATAGATTCAAAACAATCTTCATCAAGACCTAAGTAGGCTTTTTTGCAGAAATTGACAATCTGATCCTAAGATTCATGTGGATATGCAAATGACCCAAAATAGCCAGAATAATCTTAGAAAACGAAGAACAGATGGGAGACTCACACTTTTGATTTCAAAACTTGCTTATAGGCCAGGTGCAGTGGCTCACACCTGTAATCCTAGCACTGTGGGAGGCCGAGGTGGATGGATCACTGAAGGGTCAGGAGTTTGAAACCAACCTGAGCAAGATGGAGACCCCGTCTCTACTAAAAATAGAAACAAATTAATTGGCCAACTAAAAATATAAATAGAAAAAAATTAGCCAGGCATGGTGGCACATGCCTGTAGTCCCAGCTACTCCAGATGCTGAGGCAGAAGGACTGCTTGAGCCCAGGAGTTTGAGGTTGCTGTGAGATAAGCTGATGCCACTGCACTCTAGCCGGGACAACATAGTGAAACTCTGTCTCAAAAAAAACAAAAAAAAAACTTGCTTACAAATCTATGGAATCAAGACAATTTGGTACTTTTATGAAAACAGACAGTAGATAAATGGAATAGAATTGAGAGTCCAGAAATAAACTGATACATACATTATGGTCAATTGATTTTCTGCAAGGCTGTCAAGACCATTCAGTAAGGAAAGAATAGTCTTTTCAAGAAATAGTGTTGGGACAAGTAAACATCCACATGTAAAAGAATAAAATTGAACCTCCACCTTACACCATATAAAAAATTAACATGAAATGGATCATAGACCAAAACATAAAACAGAAACAATAAAATTTTTAGAAGGAAACACGGGTAAATCTCCATAGCTTGGATTTTGGCAATGGTTTTCTAGATATGACACCTAAAACAAAAACAACAAAAAACAAATTGGACTTCATGAAAATCAAAAACTTTTGCACTTCAAAGGACACCATCAAGAAAATGAAAATACAACTCACAGTATGGGAAAAAGTATTTTCTGATTATGTATCTGGATACTAGACTAAACTATCTGGTCTACTACTCAGGATATAGAAAGAACTCTTACAACTCAACAATAAAAGCACAAATAACCAAATTTTTTAAATGGGCAAAAGATCTGAACAGATATTTCTTTAAAAAAGATCTACAAATGGCCAGTAAACACATGACAATATGCTCAAAATCATTAGTCACTAGGAAAATGCGAATCAAAACCACAATGAGATACCACTTCACATCCACTAGGATAACCATAATCAAAATATGCAAACAATAACAAGTGCTGATTAGAATGAAGAAATTAAAACCCTCTTACATTGTTAGTGGGAATGTAAAATGGTGCAGCCACTTTGGAAAATAATATTGCAGTTCCTCAGAAAATTAAACATAGAATTACTATAATAAACCAAAAATCTCACTCCTAGGTATAAGAGAATCAAAAACATATATTCACACAAAAACTTGAGCAGACATGTTCACAATAGCATTATTGATAATATCTAAAATGTGAAAACAACCCAAATGTACATCGACTGATGAGTGGACAAAATGTGATAAATATATACAGTGGAATATTATTCAGCTACAAAAAGAGATAAAGTATGGATCATGTTACAACGTGGATGAGCCTTGAAAACATAATGCTTAGGGAAATAGCCAGACAAGAAAGGCACACACTGTATGATTTCATTTATACAAATGCCCAGAATAAGCAAATCAATAGAGTCAGAAAGTAGATTAGTGGTTGCCAGTGGCTTGTAGGAGATGGGAGAGGGGAGTGACTGCTAATGAGTACTGGATATTTTTCTGGCATAATGAAATGTTTTGGAATTAGATAGTGGTGATAATTGAACAACCTTATTAATATATTAAAATCTATTGAATTTTACAGTTTAAAAGGGTAAATTTTATGATATGTAAATTATATATCAGTTTTAAAAATCGTCTTCTTTTTGTTTTAGAAAACAAATATATTTCTACCTCTTTTCAGTTTTAATGAAATAAAGTCCGCTTCAATAGACTAAAAGCATTGGGTTCATGCTATATTCATAATCATGGGTATATATAAAGAGAAAAGTAAAAAAATATATGACAACTATATGCTTTGGAAAATTTTGCTCCTCTGAATGCCCAGGGTGGAAAGAATTCATTTGAGTCAGTTATAAGATAGAATATCCTGAGAGCCTGCAAGGAACACTGTCCTTATTATTTGCTGGCACCACACAGTCTAAATCATGTTGCCAGTCAGGGGATATATACTTGCGAGGAGCTTTATGTGGAGTAATTGGGCTTCTTTGCAGAGCTAAAATTAGAGAAAGAAAATTCCCATGTGTAAATGTTTCAAGACTTTTTGTTGTTGTATCAGTTTCCTAGTGATGCTGTACTGTAACAAATCGCCACAAACATAGAGGCTTAAATAAACGACATTAATTTACAGTACTAGAAGTCAAAGTCTGAAATAGATCTCAGTGGGTAAAAATCAAGATGTCACCAGGGCTGTATTCTTTCTGGAGGCTTTAGGGGAGAATTGCTTCCCTTGCCTTTTCAGCTTCTACAGACTGCCTACATTCTTCGGCTTGTGGCCCCTTCTTCTACTTCAAAGCTAGCAACATGCATTTTCAAATCCCTGGACATCCAGAGGAGTAAAATTTTCCAAACCATATAGTTCTATTATATTATTATATTTTCAAATCTCTCTCTGACCTCTGCCTCTGTCTTCCATATTTAAAGGACCCTTGTTATTACTTCAGCCCCACTTGTTATTGCTTCAGCCCCGAACCAGAATAACCTATTTTAAAGTGTGTTGATTAGCAACCTTAATTCTATCTGAAACTTCAGTTCATGCCTGCTATGTAACGTATTCACTGATTCCAGGTATTAATATGCGGACATCTTCAGTAGACCTACCATAATCGACATTTTTAAATTCCATATCAAGTTAGTTTTGAAATACACTCGGCCTTCAGTATCCACAGGCTCTGCAGGGCCGACTGTAGGACTTGAGCAGCTGCGGATTTGGTATCCGCAGGGTTCCTGCCTGGAATAGATCTCTGGAGGATACTAAGGGATGACTGTAATATGTTATTTTTGCTGCCTTGTATCTTTGTTCAGTGCTACTTTAACTCCTCAATCCACAACTACTCATCCACTCTTCCTATATAACACTCCACTGGATGAGAAGTTATTCAATAGATTCAAGCATAGTCCCTACTATGGCATGGACACAGCAGTACTACCTCTTTGAGGTGTTTGGATGTATGCAAGGGAGCTTTTTAGTTATCACAGTGATAGAGGGAGCACAACTGGCATTTTGTGCATAGGGCTAGGGATGCTAGATATCTTGCATTGCATGGAAATTTCCTCAGACTGAAGAATTACCCCATGTCTCACTTGATTTCAATCAAGATGAGACTTGAATTACAGTTTCAAAAGGAAGTATACGATGTCATCAAACCCCGGAAGATGTTTCTGAATCTATGACATCATTTCCATGTAACTCACCTTGCCAAGTCATTAAGATCCAACCGACCATCTTTATTTTTATCAAAGATCTTCATCTGAAATGCAGAAGGAGAAATGGTTGTAAGAAATGCTTGTAAAAGAAATTCATTTTGAAAGTTATTAAAGCACTTTTCTATTTTGCCCTTCTGATTATATATTTGCCAAAATTGGCTGATGAACCCATCTGTCTGGGGGGAAATTAGTATGTGCTACAGAAGGAATTGCATGTCAGCTTCCGTGTCAGGATGAGTCACAGTAACTAAACCTCCTAAATCTCAGTGGCTTAACATAACACAAGTTTATTTCTCACTCATATCATATGAGAATCAAAGGTTGGCTGGAAGTTCTACTCCATGTTGTCTACACTCCAGGACATGGAGTGACAAAGTAGCTACTATCTGGCAACATTCCTGGTTGCCATGGCAGAAAGAGAGAATGGCAAATCACTTACTGATTAAAATTTTATTGTCCAAAGCATGTCCCTGGCCACACCTAACTTCAAAGGGACAAAGCAGTGCAATCCTACCATCTGCTTGGGAGGAAAACTAATTATTTGGTGGATATCAGTAAAGACTACCACAGTATTTGACAGATAAAATAAGATTTACTTAACAATTATAAGCTTGAAATCTGGATTCTTGCTTTGAGTCAGAGTTTTCTAAAATTATGTTACAGCATATCAACAACCAAGTGTGGACAGCTCATATCATAGAGTAAGTAATCGTTATAGAGTATAAAAGAATCTCATTTTTATATAAGGCAAAAGAGGTTGAGACTCAACCTTTCTTTCCATAGAGAGACTTAGCATTGTGCAAAGAAACTATTTACATTATTAGATAAGACTAAACTTTAAACAAGACAAGACTAAAAATTAAAAATTTCTTCACTAACCACATATCAGGAAGACCAGACTGATTTAGGCAAGATAGAGGAGATACATTTCTTTGCATATCTGAGTTGAAATGTGTATGAATTTTGTGACTTCACAACATTTTAATGCTGCAGAATATCTCTAAACATATCTATGTAAGGAGGCTGCACAAGGAAACAGAGTGAGATAATCTGAAAATATATCCAACAGATTTTTGCATTAAAAAATACATTAGTCCCACATCCTTCCTCCCTCTCCAAATCCAGTTTATTTTTAATATTTAAAATGAATTTGAAAGCCCATACTCCTCAAACTTTGGCACCAAAAATGTCTATTACAGAACCTATTAAAGCACAGGTTATATTTTTACACATTTGGACATATTACATGTCCAATTATGTCCCTTAAATATAAACGCTATACAGTATCCAGTAAAAGCATGATATTAGCAGCAATATCTTTTCCTAAAGCATGAGCCATGAGTTATTTTCTGTGACACCATTAGTATGAGAGGTTCTATCTTAATAGAAAGCTACATTAGCTTGAGCTCTAAGCCCCCAGTAGAAACTCACCTTAAAAGACATGGGCACAACTCCATTGCCCTGCAAACATACTCAAAATGGGGGGGGGGGTCCTTTGCTCAAAATTGGCTTGAGAAAGCACTAAACACCACTGTGATAAATTATGCTTCTACTCATTGGAAAATTGGCTATGTGGTTTATTTAAAAATAAGAATCAGAAAAAAATCGTTTAATTTTCAGATTCCTGTGCGTGTACATGTGGGGATGAGCAGTACACATAAGTACACAGACTCCCCTGTATCTGCTCTTCTGCTTCCTAGGGCCTCTGTAACTATAAGTTACAATCTTCATAATGAGGGAAGCTTGGAACATGTCTGTTGTGCCAGACTAGAAATCAGACCTTGTGTGACATTAGGACATTACACTTCTTTGCAAGTATAACCTTTGGTGAATTTTGAATGTTTGGCATATTTATTTGGGACATAATGGCTTCCTAATCTTAAAACTATATTAATGACCATTTGTAAGAAACATATGTTATTTCTTTAATCACCCCAATATCTTTATAAGGTAAGCAATATTATATGTATGTCACAAAAGAGGAAACTGACATTTAGAAAGATTAAAGGAGGTTGTCTAAGAAGCAAGATTTTAATCTAAGCATATCTGTCAGGAGAGCTCTTTCCATAAAACCAGGCTCTTAGTTTTATAGAGTCTGGGTATCTCATCATGAATTTAGTTTCCTTCATGTTTGGTTCTGAAATAAAACATCTGGTGCCATAGATTATGCTAGAAATGTGGTATTTACCAGTTCTAATTGCCTCTCTTTCCCTGGGAAAGCAAAAAAAAGACTCTAAGTGGATCCTACCTCCACCCTGGCCCCTCCCCCGCCCCACTCAATGGCCTGAATTTCCCTAAAGAAATGGAAATTTCATGATAGTTGAGTCAATTCTAAGGCTGTCAATTTTCACTTCATTCACTAGATTCATGCTCATATAGTCCCTTTCTGTACATTTTGCCTACCCTTGAATATAAAGCAAAAAATACTGGCCTGGCGCACAGAGACAACTGCCCCAGGTGGTAAGTTAAGCACTGCAGGGTGGTGACAGCCATGAGCCCTGAGGGTGTGCCCCACTGCCGGCCTCTCCTGCTCCTGGCTCTGTGACCCTGGCTCTGTGCCCTGCTGCTGCATGCTGGGTCAGAATGTTCCCGAGTTCCTGGAACGAAGTGTTCGAGGCCGTGTGGCAGCAGTACCCTAATCTCTACAGCAAACATGTTCTGATTGGAGACATAGTACACGGGGAGGTGAACCTTGCCCAGAAGCTTTCAAGTGAAGATACACATCCAAGTGAGTCCAAGAAGCTCAGAGAAGCAGCTTAGTCAGAGATATAAATTGGGAGTCTTCAGCCTTTAGCTGGTATTTAAAACCATGAGACTGACTGAGGTCACCAATAGAGTGAGAACAGACTCTCATCAAGACTGAGCCCAGACATGTTTCAGGTTGGCCTGGATCAGAGGTGAATGCTTAGGCCTAGGGAAGGAAGCAGAGCCCAGGAGGCCAGCTGCTTTAATCCACGCATAAAGGGTGACAACCAAGACCAGGATAGAGGATGGGGACAAGCTTAACCTCATATAATTCCCTTTGTCTGTCATGGTCTCAGATTTTAATCTGTTGTTTTATAACAGCTAAGGTTCATGCTCTTGTTTGGTACATGAGCTTAATATCTCCCAGAGGTATTAGCTTAATTTAACAAAACTAAATATTATCTAACAATATCATCTCCAGACAGCTCATCCTTCCCCCTGCCTGGTTTTGGCAGCACCTCTTGATTCAGTATCATCGTTGGATTTTATTAATAGGCTGTTTCCTTCCTCACCCAGAACATTAATTAGGAATCAGGACAAGGCGTGCAGACCTTAGCTTTTCCCTTCTGACTGGCCATTCTGCCTCAACTAATTTATGCTTCAGCCAGTTTTCAAATGTGCCAATTCTTATTCAGGTCGATTTGAATTCATTTAACTGGTTACATCTCTTAAGTGAAGCATTTGATGCTAAACCTCAGGACTAAATCTTTAAGGTAGTGTTGCCATGACTGTGACCATTGCTCAATAAAAATCCATTAAAGCAGCAATAATGTGATTTCACACTTGATGTATCACTTAAAAGTTCTGGATGCAGAAGTGTTTTTTGTAGAAAGTTGAGTTTCTAAAAGTTAGTACACTCAGATGTCTCTAGGGAAATGTAAAGTCTTTTAAAAAATCAATTGTCCAGTTCCAAAATCTGTTTATTAGAAACTATAAGTCAATTCTATAACTTAGGGAAGAAAAATGAAATAGATTGGCCAAAATCACTAACTACTTTAGCCTTCTGATCAAACTCAGATCTTTGGGTGGAAACTTTTTCACCAGATTTCTCCACACTTGGCTCTCACCTCAGTGATAAGGAGCCAATGAGGGACCACTTGGAGTTTGATAGATTATGGGCCTATCTCCATGGGACAACTTAAAACTAAAAAGAGTACTTAACTGCAGCATATTTGAGCAGAAAAGCCATAGGCTTTAGCCATGAAACAGACACAGAATAACAGGATACTCTTGGCCAATGGACAATCTCAACCTAGGTAATTAAAATTGGGGTAAGAGCACTTTGATTTCCATCAGCTACTTCATAGGACTCTAAGTTTATGGATCTAAGCTCAAAGCCATCAAAAAATTGCACATTGGCCGGGCACGGTGGCTCACGCCTGTAATCCTAGCACTCTGGGAGGCCGAGGCAGGCGGATTGCTCGAGGTCAGGAGTTCAAAACCAGCCTGAGCAAGAGTGAGACCCCCGTCTCTACTATAAATAGAAAGAAATTAATTGACCAACTAATATATATATATAGAAAAAATTAGCTGGGCATGGTGGAGCATGCCTGTAGTCCCAGCTACTCGGGAGGCTGAGGCAGCAGGATTGCTTGAGCCCAGGAGTTTGAGGTTGCTGTGAGCTAGGCTGACACCACAGCACTCACTCTAGCCTGGGCAACAAAGTGAGACTCTGTCTCAAAAAAAAAAAAAAAAATTGCACATTGTCAGATTTTCTTGAGTTCAGGAAATCCCATTGTAAGCACTGTCAGCCTGAAGGTTTTTAAACTTAAACCTGAAGGCTATGAAGAGAAGAGCTCTAGGCAAGGAGGGCTGCTGGCAGGTGTGTTATGTGCAGCATCTCTTCCGGCCAAGTACTGACTGACTGAACTAGCTACTCGGCTTCTCCTTGTTCCTAGGGGTTGTTTGGGTCAGGTGACCCCGGGGCTTTACGCAGCCACAATTCACTCTTCTCACTCTTTTCCCTTCCCCAGTTTAATTAGTGTTCCTCTCTCCTCTAGAATAGTTTTGTGGAACTCTTTCCTATTTCCCATTGTCCTTTATTAATTCATTTCCTACTTGGTGTTTAATAAGGTATCAATTCTTAAGATTAGTTAGAGGCTTCATAGGTGAAAATCAGTTTTTCTGGGCCATAAATCCCGCTATGGCTGTCAGAGCTCTGATATTATCTTATCTTTAGAAATATTCCAAACTTGCTTATGTGGTTTTGTCCTTACCTCACTCTTCACCTTCTTCATAGGATTGTCTTTCTCTTCCTGACCACTCAATAGAGCTTTTTACTCTCCCTCCTTTGAAAGTTTTCTTTTTAATAATTCAACACTCAGACATTTAGACATGAGTGTTATGATCGAAACACAGGCTTTAGACAAATTTGGATCTGAATTTCCCCTCCACTTCTTGTCATGTTTGACCAGTTAAAGTCTGGAATTCTTCATTTTTTCATTTGTATGGCAAGAGTTAGAAAATGCCTACTTAATAAAGTTGTTGTGAGAATCACATGAGATGTTTAAAAAGTGCTTCAAACAGGGCTAACATAAAGTGAACACAGTTATTATGATTAAAATGCTCACTTCTAGAATAAGTGCTGGCTATCCTTCAATGAAAATAAAAGATTATACCACATGTACCCAGTAGAGAAGATATTTTGTAACAGTAACTTTAACCCTGTCCATCTACCTTTTCCTTCCCTGCCTTTGCTGAGGCTAAAGAATAGCTACGTCCTTGTAGCGTCCAGGGTCCGTATTGCATCTTATTTTTGAAAAATCAATACAACTTTTCAAAAATATTTCAACTAGGTCTCAGAATAAGACATAAAGATTGAGGGAAAATTGATCTCAACTCCAGCATGAATTTTTTGCATCTTTCCCCTCTTTTACAGATTTCCCCAATTCAAAGGCTCCATAAGGGTAAGGACTATGTCTTCCTTGGTAGGCTCTCCCTAAATATTTGTCAAATGACTGAATTCACATTTTTGTGTGCATTAATTTATCAGATCAGATTCTATCCAGAGAGAAAAGCATTAAGAGAGTGAGTTCTTTGGTGGGGGACAGGATGCTGTGAGTCACATTGAGATAATACTCTCAGCCCAGAGGGAAGGAGCACCCAGACTCGACTTTAGAAAACAACCATGGTGATCTGAATTCTGAATCCACAGGGACTTGCCCTCACTTGTCCTGCTCTGGTGATGCTTTCTGAATTTGCTCTGGTCTGTCTTCCCTGCTGCCTCTGGCTCTAGCCCTCACTCCAGGTCTGGTTCCTGGTTTTCCTGCTCCTCCTACCACTTATCCTCAGCTTAGGCATTTAGTCTCATCTGCCTCTGGCCCCTGGGCTCAGCGTGGCTCAAGCCCACTGCCTGGTTGGGGTCCTTCTGGCGGAGACTCTCTGCACTGAAATGCCAGTGAGAGCCATGAAGGAGAGAGCTCAGCACTGCCAGACATCCTCTCTGGCTCTGCCCTGCAGGGTCTGCTTTAATGGGGGGGGGGGGGGGGGGGAAGAAAAGGAGAATTTCAGAACTAAGGCTCTGCTTGGGGAAGGTTGGATCTGTGCAAAATGCTAAAATGTGCAATATGCAACCTTCCAGGCAGCTGGAGAGAGCAAAAGCCTTCCTAGGAGTGCAGGCTCACAAGGAGCATAGACAAGGGAGGTAGAAGGTCATAAGGACAAATGTTACTTATTTTTTATGGTTTCATCATAGCTGGCTACTAGGTAACAACTGAAAATTCAGTTTAATTTGCATTAAGTAGCCCACATGTGCCGGGCCCATGTGAGGGCTGAGACACGGAGATGTGATGCTGTCCTTGCCCTTGAGGAGTCAGTCACAGGCTAGTGGGGTACAAGACCAATAAACAGATGATGTCAGTGTCATCCTTGACTCCCACCTGATTCATCATGAAATGATGAATTGATGGCATGAATCGATAGCATTCATCATGCTATCAATTCTATCTCACCTCTTCTGCTACCCCACCCAAGTCTAAGCCACCAACCTCTCACCTGGAGAGCAGCAGCAGCCTCTTGCTAGATCTTCCTGATTTTGTCCTTGCCCATTTCGAGCTCTTCTCAACACAGTGGCCAGACCACAACATCCTCTGCTTCAAACCCTCAAGTAGCTTCCCATCTCACTCAGACTAAACCCCAAATATTCACAATGGCCTAAAAATCCTAAGATAGTGTGGGCCCTGTTTAGTTTCTTCCTGGCCTCCTTTGCTTCTGCCACATTGGTCTCTCCCTGTTCTTAAAGATCCCAGGCACACTGCTGCCCTAGGGGCCCTGCACTTGCTGTACCCTCAGCCCTTCTTCACCTCTCACCTTCTCAAAGGGCCACCTTAGCCACCCTACTGAAAATCTTAGTCCCCCACCCCAGCTGGCCCAGCTCAATTGTTGCATTTTTCCATAACACTCAGCACCCTCTATCATGCAATGTAATTTATTATTTATTGCATTTATTGTTTATTGTCAGTCCCTCCTTTGTCTATTTTGCTCACTGTTGGATCCCCAGTGACTAGAATAATGCCTGGGGCGTAGCAGGTATTTTATGAATATTTGTGGAATGAATTAAATAAATGACTATGATGTTAAGAGGGTGATATGTGCAAGGCACTAAAGTGACAGAGAAGGTTCACTGTGGAAGAAGATTAGGGAAGAGTTTTTTAGGGCAAGATGATATCTGCTGAATTTTCAAGTAAGAACCAGGTGGAGAAAAGTAGGGAAAAAATAACTGAGCTATGTTAAGAAGTCAAAACGTAGTGGCTTAGAATGGTTAGTTGGATATAGGGGCAAGCCCCTTTGAGTTAAAGGTATTCAAAGAAATTCTGGCAACATGCTGGAGATTCTAAATGCAAATATATTTATTAGGTAGTTCATGTTTTATAAGTCGAGATAACAATAGCCAGTGCTAACATTCTGTTAAATCAATGTTAAAAATATGCTCAACTAGAAAAACTCCTTCCTTGTTCTGCCCCCCAGACAGTTTCAGTCTAATTTCTTTTTTTCATATTATTTATTCTATTAGAGGATTTCACTGGGGCTTAGGTCAAAAGGAAGCTGGAGATTTTTCGGTAGCTGAGAAACTGCTGCCCACTGCTGGGAGATTTCCCACTACACCCTTTAGTGCTGAGCACATATTTACTCAGGATTTCAAACATCATTTTGCATGCTATTAAAACAAGTCAACAGAGTAAGAAGCCAAATTATTTCCTTAATTGAGAGCCTGTCCTGGGATTTGATTCTCTCTGTAGCATGGGTTTTTCTCCTGCCCGGGCCATTTACAAGTAGTGCTCATGATGAGAGCATTTTCTTTCTTCCCAGCACAGAGTCACTTGGCTGGGGCCAGCATTCAGAGTGGTCAGAGTCCAGAGTGAGAGCTAAGAAGGGTTTTAAGGCTGATAATAAGGAGAGCTCAGCCTCTAACTGGTGCCTTTGGCTGGGCAACAACTTTTCTTAGTTATCTGATCTTTAGAATGAGTTTAAGAATTCAACTTGGTGATCACTTAGTCACTTACCCTTTCTAAGCCTTAGTCATTAGATATATAAAATAGCATGAACAATGTCAACACTGTAGAGAAGTTGTTAGAAATAATACAGTATTTGGAAATATCAATTAAAGGCCTAAATAGATCAACCTAGTGGTATACACATTAACAGGAACTCACAGACTTCTCAGTGATATATCCCCAACTAGTCACCACAAGGTACAGTGTAGTGATTGTGCTCAAAAACTCTTTATGTAATAAAAGTAACACTCCTACAAGTAATTAAGCCTTTATTAGTAAATTCTTTGTGTACTAAGCAAGAGTTTGATAGGAATGAAGCACATACCTGGGAGGCAGAGGGAGGCAAAAGGTGGAAGAGTCAGATCTCATGCAATACAAAGTGTTGACTAGTACTGACAGAAATGCATCAAGGTAGAAACAGAATATGAGGGTGAGTTCACCAAGACAATTTCTCCTACTTCCCCATTTTCCAGGGAGCTTGACATTAAAATAGTCTCAAGGTCATTTGTGACAAGGATGTCATGAGGGGAATGTGAAATAATGACAAGGACCATAACATCTACTGCAATAAGAGCTAATGTGTATTGAGCCCTCATTATGTTCCAGACAGTATGCAAAGTATTTCGTATGCATCAATTCATTTTGCACTCACAGTAATTAGGTACCATTAATTAATCCCCATTTTACAGAAGAAATAAAGTCAAGAACCTTGACAGTTTTTGCTAGGTTATACCTAGTACGTAGCAGAGGTGGGACACACACCCTCCATCTAACTGACTCCCCCCTGCACTAAGTCAACACACTGAATGAATAGAATCATCCACCATGGTGAGGGGAAGCTTCCATCTGTTGGTCCTGATCACCTAGGTCCATGTTCACTTGTTCCTATGTGACTTTTATTAACATTTAGGTTATTGGCCTGTACTTGGAAACCTACTGTTGACTGGACTTTCCAGGTCTCCCATGGACAGGTGAGCAGCTTTCTCTCTTAAATACATGCAATCTAGTCCCAAGAGAGGCTAAAACAGCTCAATTTTGGCCAGTGTTTTTCAGAGCTGAGTTTTTTTTCATGCATTCACTTAGTCTGCAAACATTTCTCAAGGACTTACTTTGTGCCAGATGCTATTTCTGGGCCCTGGGAGGCAGCGGAGAAGCTGCCCTCATGGAAATTGCACTACTCATTACTTACCATGGTGCCAGTGTATTCTTCCAGTTTGGCCTCCGAAATGGCCTTTTTGTGGTGGAGGAAGAGGTCTCGGAGGAAGTTCTGTGGAACCAATGGAAGAGTCATGTTTTATATAGTGAGAAAATAAATTGCAAGTGTCTCAAGAGACCTTATTTTAAGGATTGTGGTTGTTTGTTTCAAGGAGGAAATAAAATGCTTTTAGCAAGCAATAAATCCAAGAATGGAGGGCTGTCACTGTTTATGATAAGGAGCTCATGGAACCCAGGAAATAGCTCCAGGCATGGAAAAAAGTAAATGCTCAATTATGCCTCTTTCCTGGAGAGGGCAATGTGACCTGCACTTTCTAAACCTTTTAAACATAAATACATCTTTTTCAAGTAAGAAATTAAAATCCATGTTTCTTGGGCCCACAGAAATCAAACCCATGATACACATATATCAAATTCCCAATGATGAACAAATCCACCCTTTATCCATTGACAATTCCCAGTGACACTTACACAAAGTTCAGCAGCTGATATAAAGCCACTACTGTCAGCATCATATTTGCGCCAAATCTGAAATAGCAAAAGTCATTAATCCATTTATCTTCAAATAATTTGGAATTGATTTATGCTAGTGTCTACTATGGTTCATCATCTGAGAACAATATGTAATTGGATACAAATAAGACTTTTCATAGAAAATTTTAGGCTTTCTTGGTGACAGCAATTGTTTGGGCAGAATTCACAGGAAATAGATTCCTGCAGTCACTTGGAGAAACTTAAAAGGACCACAATGCTTTCACTGAAAGGGTTCTTTGGGAATGCTCAAGATGGAAAGATAATAAGGGATGGACTTCAATTTGGGACAATTTGGCAAACTAAGAAAATTTCTCTGTACTAAATATCTTAAAATGCAGCATACTATAAAAGCACGTCTTTAAATATATATTAATAGCTGAACTGGCAAGAAAGTGAGAGGACTTCTAAGAGACCCAATATGCTAGGGAAGCACAAACTTGAGAAGTAATGTAGGAAACCAAAGCCTGTCCCAGGTGTATCTCCTGATCTCTGGCAACATAGCCTGCAGCTTTATCAGAAAACTTCACACGTGGTAGACAGGAGACAAATTCTGGGACCCAGGCAAAGTGGGAAATCAGATTGAAGTACTTGCTTAAAACTAAAACTCCAAATAGCAACACCTTAGTGAAAGGATGAACTCTTTACAAATTACACTGCAGAAAAGTCCACTAAGGAATCTTGCCTGTGTGGCCTTGGCTCTGGTGGTGGAGAGGATAAAATACCTCTGATAATTCCCAGTGGCATGCCATCCCTCTCAATCATTTGAGGGCAGCATGTATCCAGCCAAAGATGCAATTACTGAACTGGAAGGCAGAATAGCTGAAAATCTAGAAGGAAAGCACTGAACTGCATTCTTTAATAAATGCTGTTACTCTGACCACCCCCAATTATTCCATGGACAAGCCTCACTTCAATTGGCAAGCTCCCTAACTCCTGTACAAAATGAAAAGTGCACTAAGTATTTTTTTTTTTTTTAGTTGACAGATTTTTCCATAGATCCTAAATAGGTTGCGACAGGGACCTTAATTCCAAACCACAATCGGAATTCTCAATGCAGATTATGCAGGGATAGTGGGAGATGTTGATACTGAAGCTCATATTTAGTGAGAAGAATTCAGAAACATCATTCCTTTCAGTCTCAGTCATTCTCATCTGAATTTAGCCTAATTTACAAAATCAACAAGATAAATGCGATTTATATTCTAACTTTTATTGGGTGAGTATACCAAAACTATGAGAATTTCAAATAATAAAAATTTTACACGCTTTTTTAATGCTATTCTCCAATCAATTTGCTATTCTCCAATCAAATCTAAATTATTTTATAGTTTTACTACAGCTGAGCCATTGGAGGGCCAGAGATTTTTACATGAATATTCAACAAGCCTAACTTTAAAGGATGAAGGTAAAGTAAAGAGACTTTCAGACAAACAAAAGCAGAGTTTACTACCAACAGACTGTTGGTAAAAGATATACTCTAGGACTGTGGTCCCAAACTCCTGGGCCTTGGACAAGTACCAGTCCCTGGCCTGCTAAGAACTGGGCTGCACAGTAGCAGGTGATCAACCAGGAAGGGAGGGAAGCGTCATCTATATTTACAGCCACTTCCCACTGCTTGCATCGCCACCTGAGCTCCGCCTCCTGTCAGATCAGCAGCAGCATTAGATTCTTATGGGAGTAAGAACCAAAACAAGATTATGAGATTACGAAGTAGACTGGACATGAGCAACACACTTCAGGGTGTCACTGTCTCCAGTTATCCCCAGCTGGGACCATCTAGTTGCAGGAAAACAAGCTCAGGGCTCCCATTGAGTCTGCATTATGGTGAGATGTATAATTATTTCATTATATATTACAATGTGCTAATAATAGAAATAAAGTGCACAATAAATGTAATGCACTTGAATCATCCCGAAACCATCCACCTGCCCCAGTCCATAGAAAATTTGTCTTCCATGAAACCAGGGCCTGGTGCCAAAAAGGTTGGGGACTGCTACTCTAGGAGGAAGGAGGAACACAAAGAAGGAAATCTAAGATACAAAAAGGAATGGCAAGCAAAGATAATGGTGGCAACGTAACATGTGGTGACATGTGGACAAACTGAAACAAATCATAACTACATAAAATTTGTGGGGCTAAAGAAAACAAAATAGAACTAATATCCTAGACAATAATGGCAGATGAGCTGGAAGGTGTGTGTTAAGAATCATAGTGTGCTAACATCCTGTGGTTCAGAGGAAAAGTAAAGACATTGACTTAGAATTTCTCAAAATATATAGAATATAATAGGTTATAACAAATTTAGTTTATAAAGAGAATTGAAGAATTCACAATGATATTTTTTAAAAAAAAATGGGTAGAGTAAGGGATAGCTCTTCCTTACTGAATAAATTGACAAACCAGAAAGGAGGGGAAAATGGAATACATTTAAAAAAGGAAAAAGATAGGAAGGCTCCTTAGTGCCATTTGTTTTTCCAGTTTTTCAAGATTATTCAAGACTACACAAGGCCTGACATTTTAATACTTTTTTTCTGATAATATTATAAAAGTAAATCTTGTGCAATGTAAAAAAGTAATGAGATACAATAACACGAAATTTATAATCTCCAGAAATTCCTATCCCAGAGATAATTACTTATTGGTTGTCTGTGCTTCCTTTCCATCATGTTTCCATAACATGCACTACAAAACCAAATTGAAAGTCACATTGTACACTTTTGTGGTATATATATAATTTTAATTTAAGATATTCTGTGAGCTTTTTAAAACACAATTAAAATCATTTTTAAAATGTCATTGAAATAACTTTTAAATTATTATGATCATACACACAATTGGAAGATACAAAAGTACAAAGAATATAATAAAATCACCTGAAATCCTATCACTCACAAACAACCAATTTTTATCTTGTGTGTATTTACCCACTATTTTATCTATGCAGGTATTAGGGTAAACAACTTTTTAAGCAAAGTTAAGATCATATTGCTTGTACAATTGTGTTTCTTAATATTATACTGCATTTCCTCCATGTCAGTAAATATTCTTTGAAAACTTGATCTTTAGGGATGCATAATGTTGGAAAATGTTTTTTTTTTTTTCCTGCAGTGAATCTCCAGCACCTAAAACAGCACCTGGTATATTGCAGTGCTCACAAGAATTTGGGGAATTAATGGATTATATGAATGTGTCATAATTTAACTAATTTTTCCTTTATTATTAGACATTTATGTTATTTTTGGTTTTGACCAAAAGAAACGCCACAACATTTAATAAACATCACCATACAGAAAACATTTATCTATACCTCTGCTTATATCCATAAGGTAGATTCCTGAAGAAGTAGAATATTAAGTCAAAGAGTAAAGATTAAAAAACAAACAAAACTCTGAGTAATAAAAATTTAAAGGATCCTTATTGAAATTTTGAAAAATTATTTTCTATAAAATTATTCCACAGTGCATGCCCACCAAAAGGACATCAGCGACAATCTCCAGGCCTCCTTGCTAGCACTACACATTTTTGTTCATTCTTTGAAAATCTTTATCTCTTTGATTGATAAAAAATGTATTCTTTTAATTTGCATTTCTTGAGTTGCTGGCATATATTTATTGTCCATTCAAATCTCTTCTGTGAATTGCCTTGCATATGCGTGCCCAATTTTACATGAAAGTACACAAAATAGCACAAACGATGCTAAGTTATTATTGCCTAAGTGGGGACATGGTAACTATTTCAGGAGTGGAGTCCTGGATGCAGTGGCTGTCTTGAATCAGCTGCTCTGGCCTTGGAGAAACCGTGATCTGCCCTTTCCTGGTCATTTTTCACCAACAGAGTGGGAACACCTAGATGCTGAGAGAGGGGTATCTCAGAGGGAAAGAGCCCAGAGGCCCGTTGATTCTGCCTAAACAACTTTTACTCAAGCCCAGTGATTGCAGATAGAAGGCCCATTGGCTGGATCAATGGGCTAATAAGTTATATATTTACTGTACCATGCTTTCAAAACGAAAACTAGTTGCCAACACTTAAAAATAGGTAGATGTTGGTGTGGATGTGGTGAAAAAGGAACACTTACACATTTTCTTTGGGACTATAAATTAGTACAACCTCTGTGGAAAACAATATGGAGAGTACTCAAAAAACTAAAAATAGAACTACTATTCAACCCAACAAGCCCACTACTGGGTATCTACTCAAAGGAAAAGGTGTCATTATATAAAAAAGATACCTGTACCAAATGTTTATTGCAGCATAATTCATAGTTATAAAGATATGCAGTCAACCTAAGTGCCCATCAATTGATGAGTAGATAAAGAAATTGTGGTATACACACACACACACACACACACACACACACACACACACACACTGAGAAGTAATAGTCATAAAAAGTAATGAAATAATGTAATTTGCAGCAACTTGGATGGAACTGGAGAACATTATCCTAAGCAAAGTATCTCAGGAATGGAAAAATAAACACCATATGTTTTCACTAATAAGTGGGAGCTAAATGATGGGTACACATGGTCATAAAGTGGTGTAAAGCACATTGGAAACTAAGAACAGGGGAGGGTGGGAGAGGATAAAAGATAAAAACTTACCTATTGGGTCCAATGTACACTACTCTGGTGACAAACACACTAAAAGCTCTGACTTCAACATTATATAATTTATCCATGTAACAAGAACACTTGTACCATTTTGAAATAAAAATAATTTTTTAAAAAAGTAGGTAGTTTCACATGGAGTCTAGATTTCTAGAAAGAAGTTTCAACAGGCAACAGTTCAGTGAAGTTCCACAAGGCTATCAGCTTCAGATGGGGCATGAGCTCTCCAGTTTCCACAGTCCCCCATCTCTACCCCCAATCCCCTCCCATTCCAATGTTCAGCATAGCTGCCTGGCCCTTTGTCTAAGGCTTCCTCTGTCTGCCCAGGAGCAGCCCAGGCCAGCACTAAGAATACTGGGGCTTGGGGCCAAAGTCCTGGCTCATCACTAAGGATCTCTTTGCTTAGTCTTTTCACCTGTGCTCAGCTCTCCCTGGGGAACTGAGCGGGAGTGTTGACAGAGACAGCAGGTGGCTAAGATCCTGGCCTCCTCTCAACCCTCTGTCTCCATAGAGACACAAGCAAACACTCACCTGCATAAACTCCACACTGCTGTCCAAGGGGGTTTCCCGGCGAAAGAGCAGAAGAAAGTTTTCATCCTCAGACAAGAACATACCGGCAAGCTAAAGGAACAGGAAGACTAGCAGTCAGGGGTGCTGCCCAGGGTCTATTTAAGGAGTGTTCCCTGGGTAAAAGGTATGGTGATACATATTATAGGGTAGGATGGCTCAGATCTCTCCATCTGGAGAGCCTAGCTTGCAGTTCTGGGCTCTTAAAGGCCATTCTTTGATTCACCGATTCTTTAAAAAAGTATCACATTCCTGCTAGGTATAAAACATTATGAATATCTGCCTTCCATGAGCTTACAACCCAAAATAATGATTATAATATTAATAGGAATAATATATTTGTTCAGTACTTAATATGCTCTAGGCACTATTCTTAGGACATTCAACATTAAATGAATTTAATATTTAATGATAGAAAATAAAAATAGCAAATAATGCTTACATGTGCTAACTCATTTAATCCTAACAACAATCTATAGGATACACAACATAACATTACTACTATTTTCTAGTTAAGGAAACTTATCTACACAGAAATAAGGAATTTGCCAAAGTTGTGCGATTAGCATGTGGTACAGTCAGGACCTCAACTTGGCAATCTCAAGCCCATACTTCTAATTACCAGGCTTTGCTGGTGAGATGCCATATAGACACAGTGCTTCACTGTCCTATGCAAAAGCAGCAATGACTGCTGTCTGGCTTGATTCTTGAGTGTTAGCTATGATTTATGTTCTTGTACATTATTAATGTCTATACGATACTAGTAATACAATAGTTGATTCAAGTGCAACAGATTCAACCAAACAGCTTTCTATATAAGCACCAGTTTGACTGATTTATTTCACTCACTCCCATGAACAAAGGTAATATCTTCTTCCTCTCCATGATTATAATGCTTATTTTAGCACATATGCAGGTTTGGCTGAGTTCATCACCAAATCTAGGGTATTGCAGTGTATATTGTCTTCTTTCTGAGTTGTTCCCATAAACAATGGTCATTTTCTCTGTAACTGAGTAGTTCTTTCAGTGTCTTATACAATGTCACAGGATGAGTCCAGAGCAAATGCTCTTGGTGGGTTTTAGTCATGATTAGTTCACAATTCCCATCCACATTCTCCAATTGTCAGCTCAAGGATACATCACATCATGTTAATAATAACTATCATATATGGAGTACCTACTATGTGGCCAGTTCCAATAAGGTATTTTGCATTTATTATTTCATTAAATTCTCACACTAATTCTTCAGGATGAATATAAACATGCCCCTTTTACCAATGAGAGACAGCACAATGCAATGTGTAAATGATATACTTTAAAGTGGATACAAATTCCTTCTCCATTACTTACTAATTATGTGAGCTTGGGCAATGTAATTGGTATTTCCAGCCTCCATTTCCTCATTTGGAAAATGAGGACAATAATATTGATATTCTAGTGCTGATGTAAAGGCTAAAAGTACAATGAGCCAATATTTATAAACTGTTTAGCTAAGTACCTGGTACACATTAAACAGTCAATAAATGATAACAGCCATGTTGGTGAAGATGATAAAATTGAGGCTCAGAGAAATTAATTAAGTAACTTGCCCAAGCTTTCATATTCCACCATATTGACTTTATGCTTTTCCCACCAACCCACACAAGGCCAATCAGAACTAGAAACTGCTCTTCAGACCTATGCAGTGTTTTAGTGCCACCCATATAAGTGTGGCACAGGCTTAAAAAACCAATTACAATGCCATTCACTTATGCCAGGTCTTTAGAACCCACCCTGTTTTCAATTTTGGATGGAATGGCACAGAGGAATCCTGGACAAATTGGATATACAGATAATCCCCAAACTTCACTTTGGCTTTTTGTTGTGGCCTTTTCCCCATCTTATATACTGCTAGAGCATCTAAAATGTGTCAAGGCAGGCTGATTTTTGTGTCACAATTACCTGTATTTGGAGTAAGTGAAACGGCCAGTGCTACAGCAGGAACTATAGGGACAATGGGAGACCTTGCTGCTCCTTAGACTCACAGACTCATGAGGTTTTAAGGAGCCTTGGAAACAACCCAGTTCTGAACCTTCAGCTTCTCTACAAACAATAAGCTCAATGACACTTGTGTGCAGAGCTCCATGACAAAATGGCTGGCCAATTGCTCAGGAATGTCTGTCATTAGTGAGATAACAGTACAGTTTTCAGTTATTTACTATGTTTCACTCATTCATTAATTAGATCAAGAAATATTTCTTGAGCACCACTATGTGCTATGCTCTGTTCTAGGGACTGGAGAATACAACATGAACATGTAGTCAGGAATATTTTGCTTGGTGCACCTAGCTCAATGCTTGAACTTACTTTTCTTTTGATGGATAAATGGATACTTTTACATCAATTATAATAAGAATTGTTGGCTATATATATAATTTTGCCTTTGAGTAAAAATTTTGGAAACAGTTACACTCACAAACCTAGAGTTTAATTTATTAGTTTTCTGAAAAGGCAGTCTCTTGGTGAACATGTCCACTTTTTATGAAGAGACATTATGTTGCCATATTAACATAACTCCCTAAAGAAATTTCCCTATTATTTTCTTCAATAATATTAACTGTCCACGCATGGTAGCATCAAGAGACTACCTCTTCAAGTGTCAGGTAATATGTGTAACAGGTAATTTTCATGAAGAAACAAACATTTTTGTTTCAGATTAGCTCATTTTTATGTACAGATTTATGCCTATAAGTGGGGCTACACTTAAACCACCACCGTTTATTTGGCCATACGATGCTCGGAATGTAACACTTTCCTCATTAGGAAAATAGGGAAAAGGTTTCATGCCTATCTTCTTAGCTACTGTGGGAGTACAATAGCAAAATATATGTGGAAATCCTTTCTAAACTGTAAACATTTTTTGTAACTGGAAGGAGGAATGACCAAGTAGAAAGTAGATCATCCAAGGTTAAGCATGCTTACTTAACACAGTTGCTTGCTTTAGTAGGTAGTCAGTAAAGGTGGGCTGAATGGAAGTAAAGGTAGCTATTGTCTGTTTTGCTTTTTTTTTTTTTTTTTTTTTTTTTTAGGCTAGAGTGAGTGCCGTGGCGTCAGCCTAGCTCACAGCAACCTCAAACTCCTGGGCTTAAGCAATCCTACTGCCTCAGCCTCCCGAGTTGCTGGGACTACAGGCACGAGCCACCATGCCCGGCTAATTTTTTATATATATATATATTAGTTGGCCAATTAATTTCTTTCTATTTTTATAGTAGAGACGGGGTCTCGCTCAGGCTGGTTTTGAACTCCTGACCTTGAGCAATCCGCCCACCTCGGCCTCCCAGAGTGCTAGGATTACAAGCGTGAGCCACCGCGCCCGGCCTTGTTTTGCTTTTAATGATCTTCAGGAATAGATCTGGGAACTGATACTGAAGCTTAAATTAATATATTGTCAGTTTTTCCTTGGATCAATGTTCAATTTGAACAGGACACTGTACAAAGAGACAAATGTGGGATCAAGTGACTGAAAGGCCTCTATCATCTCAATTCCCCAATTACGAAATAGATACAAATACTGATTGACCTAGATAAAATGATGAAAGAATTGCATACTCTTTGTTATTAAGCAGATGAAAAAGGAGAGGTGATTACTTCAACAATGTTCCCTAGGCCAACTGCCTTGTAGGAAGTTCTGATTTCCCAAATGAAATGTAGGATTTTCACTGTCTTTCAAAAGAAATTACAGCCCAAGAAAGTAAAGTCAAGGGAAAAAAATAAACAGTCAAGACAGGTACAGCCACCAAAGATACAATAATGAAAGGTACCTGTTTCATTTGTATGTGACCATCTTTAGACACATGTTGGGTAGTCATAAATTGCTGTTTCAACTTCTGCACATTTTCTTCCATGACTGCATCCTGTAATGGTCCAAAAATAGCCACATTAAAGCCACTGGGATCCCCAAAATAGAGTTAGGATAACATATATTCAAAGCACACAGTTTGATGATGTCATTCTAACCTGGAAAGCAGGTTCCTCAGCCATTTAAAGTGATCCTACCCTTTTGTAGAAGAGACAGTAGGATGGAGGTTTCTTGAGCAACCAGTCACTAATCAGAATCTTGACTAGGTAAAATTTATAGTTGACAAGTTACTAAAACATTTATGAAAAGAAGCTTAGAGATTAGAGTGCTGAAAGAACAAATTTGAACATTATCAAATATTTGATTGTGACAAAAGACTGCATTGTAATTAATCTACAGATGCTCTTCCCAAGAACTCAGAGATTTTAAATTTTTAACTAAAAAGTTAAGCTCTTCTGGATCCCCAGGTTGCTATAACCAATCCTCTTAATAGTTTCTTGTATTCTCTGAGGAAACAATAATGAGAAGGGGCAAATAATTAAAGAGGAGACCAAAATAATAAAGTAATTGTTGAGTTACCAAAAATGGCACAACTCTTTTCCATGTATAACCTTTTATACACATTAAATTGTCTTCTTTAGTGGATTTCAAGGTTATTACAGGAAAGGTGACATATATAATCAACAATAAAGAATGAATTCTGAAGCAGCAGTTGGGAGACATACATGATCCCAAACAATACCTGATTCTAAAATTCCATACTTATTGGAATTCATGCTAAATAATTCTCCATAATAGTACCACACTATCCCTGGTCCCAAGCTCTCCAGCTGTGAGTTAGAAGGGCTGAAAAGAGATGACCCTGTTGACTGACTACCATCCCTGCTGGTGTTGGGGGGTGGGGAGGACTCTGAGCTTCCAGGAGACTCTCTGGACGCATCACTCAGGCATGCGCGTGTGGGACAGTTCTCTGGGTGGCCTTAGACTGACCCAGTTCTCCCCCCTTTCTCACTTGTAATTATCAACCATAGAGTGTGCTGGGAACGCAACATCTTGAGATAAGAAAGAATTTGCTGGAACAATCGGGCTCTGTTTTAGCCCCTCCTAGAGCAAGATGTCCTAAAACATTGTAGCCCAGCGTGATATGCTGCCCTTAGGTATAAAGCCCAGGGAAGACTGCTTTCTTTCAAGCACCTACCACATGCCACACACAATTCTGGCCCCTGATGACATGATGGTCAGCAAAACTATCATAGGCTGGTGGAAGACATCTTTGTCCTGCCTTCCTTTCCACTGGAGTCTCTCCCTAATGGGCTACAAAAAAGGTGAATAAGTGTTAGAAAAGAAAATGTGGTGAAGAATTAATAGCTACCTACATCCAATTTACAAGAAAAAGAAAAAGGGCAAGTAAATAAACATTTTTGGAGTGCAGCTTCTCACATGGAAATTCTACTTTACCACCGTCCCACCACTGGCTGGGAAAATATTTCAGATTTTTTACAGTCCTGACTTGGAGGGGCTTTCAGTCTTGCCCTTTCCTTCCTAGGCTGTCATCTCTTCAGTTGGTCTTTTATATGGGACAAATATTTTCCAGAGACTAGAAAATCTAGTAGAAGAGTAACATGAAAAGGAGAATATTCCAATTCATGATAATTTTATTTATTGATGCACAATAAATCAAAGTATATGCTTCCTTCAGATCAGTCTTGGTGATTTGGAAGCAAAAGACCAAAGGAGAAAAAAATCAGAGAATGTTTAGCACCACTTTCTAAGGCTCTGAGACACTGCCCTTTCATTTTACTGAGGAGGAAACAGACCAGAAGGGTGATGCAAAAGGATATTGGCAGAACCTGAAACCAACACCTCTGTTATCTGGTACAATGCACTTTCCACCACACCTTGCTGTTACTTCAGATGAGGCAGATAGCACCTATAGCAGAGTTATTAAAGTCCCACCCTGAGTGGTTTGTAAATGAGATTGCTCAAACAAAATGCAGGGAGAGCTTAATCACTTGCTTTGGGATTTTTTCAGGATAGGTTTTGGCAATTAGTTATGTAAGAGGATGCTTTAAATATTACAAGACCCTGAAGGTTTGAAAGCCAATTCTTGGAGAGGTAAGGAGAATCACGGTCAGCAAGAGCAACTTTTGCTAGGAAAGTTGCAGGACATTATTGCAAGATCTCGACCTGTGACATTGGCATCCTATCTCACTAACTCATTGCAGGAGGAGGGTGCACAGCAAATGTTTGATTGTGGCTTATAATAGTGAGAAGAAAGATGCTCTGAGCTGAGATTATTTAAGCTATTGGATCATTGAGTTTTCCATACTTCCACTATTGGTGTGGATACCAGAAATATAGGGAATGGCCAAGTTTCATGTCAGTCAATGTTTTCCCCCTTCTCTGTCCAACTATACACAAACTTCTTGTTGGCAGTTATAAACATGGAATTATACCACCTTTTTTCCCAGTCATCACCTTTTTCTGGGGAAGGGGTTAGAATAAGATAAATGGATGAAGTGCAGGCAATAGAAAAAGGCAAATGAATTAATGGCTTGTATAGTGCCCAAATGGATGCTAGATAGTGAAGAATAAACTTCATTTAGAATAAATTGCAGTGAAGGTGAGTCATTCTACAAAAAAGTAAAAGTTGTGTAAGAACCAAAAATAGCATCTATATATATATATAGCTATTTTTTAAAAGTAAACCGAAACCACTAGCACTTGTGATTGAGAAGATATACCAATCAAATGGATTTGTATATTGTAGCCGTACCAAGGCCATCTGTTGTATCTATGGCTTTGGTCCTGTATTTAAAAACCTAAAATGATTAAAATAAGAGGACTTGGACAGATTAACTCTGTTAACAACTGCATGTACTCACTTGATGATTATAAATGAGGAATAGTCAAGGGGATAGTTTTTAAAAAATGAATACCTTCCTAAATGAACACACCAAATTGAAAATGTGGAAAAAAAGACATTAGTGTTTTGCAACCAAAATCTTAAGTGAAGAAACGGGAAATAACGCCTAGATCATTTGTCTAAGATTGAGCAAGTATATTGGGTTCCTGAGGTGATGATCTGTCTATTGTCTGCTGTCTACCTTTAAGTAAGTAGGCTTCTTCACTCATGAGGTGGTAAGTATGATTTAAGGCATCCTTCAAAAGCTAACCTGGGTTGGAAAACTTGCTCTCATAAACTGGAAATCCCTTTCATAGATGTATTTAAATTTTAGATCCCAAAAGCTTTTTAGTGTTTAAGAGAGCAAGCTTCAAGCAATTATGCTTTCTGGGATAACTCACTGGTTGACCTGAAGCAAAGAGGGTCAAGAATAAACGTGGGACAAACTAATGACCCAAGAAGACACCATATCACCATAAGAACATATAAGTGGATGCTTTTGCAACTAAAAAGTGCTTTTCACTTATGTTCTCCCATTGGTCTTCATTGTGAAACAGGCAGGTTAAAACATTTTTATTCCCACTTTATGGATAAGAAAATTGAAATGCAGAGACTTAAAATGGCATATTGATATCACACAGCTAGAGATGCAGAGCTAGGACATAAACATTGGATGTCTGTCACCACACATAGTTGCCCTTTCCTCACAGCATGAGGCATCTTTGGAGTGGGCCTTCAGAGATAAAGAGCTACATTATTTTTTCCCTCTGTAGAAGGTGAACTGGTACTTTAAGACTCCAGGATCTTCTGCTAACCAGGTTTCCTCATGTGGCACCCCACTGAACATAAAGAGATTAGCTTGTGTATTCTCAGCACCGTGGACTGCGTGTGTTTGGTTGGGTGTGCATGCGCCATACAGGAGAAGCATGATGGAGATCACTCAGCAAGGTGGGCCTTCACTCCAAACTTCAGCTTGACCTGTTCGATTAAGAACTCTGCCAGGAGAGCAATCATTTCTTTATCTCTGGAACATAGGATCTGTTGAATATATAAATGATTCTTTATGATGGGCTGGGCATTCCCAAAGGAAGTTAACTAACATAGGCCATGTTGGTGGAAAAATTTTAAAGTAAATAAATGTGAAGCCAAAGAAGCAGTGGCCAGATTGTACATGCCACCTTTAGTTTGAATTCTGAATTCTCTCCTCTTAGACATCTAACCCCAAAGCCCGTGACTATCCTTTAGACCTAAAGAAAAAGAGGCCAGGGCTCCTCAGTGGTAATTCCCCATCTGTCCTTATCTGATACTCTCGGCCTCAGCAGGGTATGTGTAATCTTCAAAACACTGAAAGAGGCCCAAGATGTGAGAGCCTAATGCTCAGCAACGGACTGGCAAGATCTAGACCTGATCTAGAGGCCAATTCTCAGCATTTGAAAGGAAAAGGCTTGGAAGGAATAACAGAAACGGCAAAAATGGCAGCTGATGGTTCCATGAAGTCACTCCCCTCAAAGGCTATAAGGAAAAGGTAACTATAAGCAGGCTGCCTCCTCTCTGAGATTGACCAGCAGGCAACTTGCTGTTAGAAACGTCAAAACAGCTTCTGAGATCTCTGTGACCTACTAATCAGCAGAGGAAAGTAGAGCTATCCAGGCCTCTGAAGAACAGCTTGCCATTCCTGAACTCCAGAGTGAGGGGCTGCCTGATTGTGGAGGCCTCCCTGCTGCTGGCTTCTGTGCTCACTGGGCAGTACTGATCAAAAGCAGGTGTCACAAACGAATGATGGCTGTCCCTCAGTTGATGGGGCGTCCACGTTTGAAGTCCTGCCCTGTGGTTATGGACTTACTTAGGGCCTACTTCTTGCCCTTTAGAGGAAAAGCTCAAAATTAAAAATCATTTCCTTAATCATGGTTGTCAAGGTACCAAGAATTGCCCAGCTAAGGCCCCTGAACTGCACTCCACAGAGTAATGCCTCAGCATTTTGAACAGGAACCAATGGCAGATGACACCATTTCTGGTTAACAGTTTAAACTTATCATTCTGGCTTCAAAAGCTTTCTCCTAGCCAAGTGCTTATGACAGGTGCCTGGGGCTGCGGGCACAGCTCAGTGGGACTGGCCTGGTTCTATCAGAATCCCCTCTCCAGCAGGCAGTCATTGTTCATGGAGGAGCAGAAGGCAAAAAGACATACAAACTGACTTAGGGTGCTTTTAAAATGCAAGATCCTTGGCAGACCCCAAATGTACTGAAATACATATAGGATGAGACCCAGGGACCTGCATTTTAACAAGTATAGATAATTCTCAAGCACATCAAAATCTGATTTGCACTAGGCTAAATATTCTGAAATCTTCCAACCCCTTTTCCAGCCACAGGGACACTTGCACTGAACATAGTAGCACAAAACACCAAGCAGTCATTTGTTGTCTCCTTTCCTCAAGGACTACTCTTTCCCTTGTGTAAAAGGGTTGATCCACAGGCTACAGACCAGATCTGAGGGAGGGGCAGCTGTAGGAACAGCCAAGAGATGACATCCCTCTTTGCTCCCAGAATGGCTACAATGCCTCTAAGTTTAGCCAAAGCCTCAGGTGAAGACAGCTCCTAGCATCCTCAGCTTAGAGCAGAGCAGACCCTTGTGTTTGAGTAAATGTTCATCCTAACTCCACGACTGTAAATGAGAAACTTCCAGTTTCAATACTGATAGCAATTTCTCCTCTCCTTTTCTATAAATCACTATAGCAAGAAGCTTTCTATTACAAAAAGGTGTGAGAGCTAGGTGTGGTGGCTCATGTCTATAATCCCAGGACTTTGGGAGGCCAAGGTGGGAGGATTGCTTTGAACCCACAAGGTTGGGACCAGCCTGGAAAACATAGCGGGACCCTGTCTCTACAAAAAATTTAAAAATAAAATTATCTGGGCATGGTGATGCACACCTGTAGTCCCAGTTACTCAGGAGGCTGAGACAGGAGGATGACTTCAGCCTGGGAGTTTGAAATTGCAGTGAGCTGTGATCACATCACTATGCTCTAGTGCGGGCAACAGAGCAAGATCCTGTCTCTAAAATAAAATAAAAATAAAAAGGTGTGAAGTTCTAAGCCTCTGGGATATAGATTTTTAGAAGTTGACCATCCAGTTTATTCCAAGTTTTTGATTAGCTTTACCTTTATCTTTTCCCTTTCCTCAAATATCCCTGTCCATGGTTGATAAGATGGCATCTGACTCACGGGTTCCTGGACTGCCATGAGCCTTGGCATTTACAGATGTAAGCAAGAGCCCTGCAGGGACGACTGGAAGGGTTTCACTGTGGGCTGTTGGCATGTGACACTTGTCAGCACAATTGAAGCAGAAGCCTCATTTGGGGGAGGCTTACTCAGTTCTACTCATAGCTGGTATAAGTGCAGGAATGAAGGATAAAGAAAAGTGTGTGCAAATGGTCTGACCAGAGGAAAGAAGGGGCTCATATCTCTGTCGTCCTCATCTGCCACTCTCTCATAGGCTGCATGGGGTAGGGGTTGGAGGGGACAGGCAGAAAAAGAGCAATAAAAGGGAGAGAGAGAGAGATGAGAGACCAAAAAAGAGACAAAGATGAAGGGGAGAAAAAACTAGGAAGAGAAATGAAGGACAAAAAGAGAGATGAGACAGAGAGATAGGAAAGAGAGAGGGAAAGATAAATGAAAGACATGGGGAGAGGAGGGATCAAGAGAGAACTTTGAGAAGAAACTGGAGATAGAAAGGAGAAACAAAGAGACAAAGAGATGGAGAAACAGATGAGAAATAGACAAGTTAGAAAGAGATAAGAGAGATGAGAGAGACGGAGAGGTCAGAGAGAAAGGCAAGAGACAATGGGAGATAAGACCCATGAAACATACAGATGGGAAACAAAAATGAGCAGAAAAATGAAAGAGAGGGAGACAGAGAAAATGAGAAGACACAAAGAGGGAGAACAAGAGGTCTGTGTGGCTGATGGAGGCAGCTGCCAGCCTCTTCTTTTCTGAGCTAGCTTTCCCTGGCCCGCAATACTCTCCCTCTGTTCTCAGTAGAGAGCTTCTAGTTCCCCTTCCTGAGCTCTTACACGAGAATGTGATACACTTTAATATTCTTCCAGGTAAACAACTGAAGTCTGAGGATAAACTGTCTCCATGATTCATTTAAATGCAACTGTCCCCAGAGTTAATCCCCATTATGCATGTCCTAATGGAACCTACACCAAATTGAGACCCTTTCCAGACTAGCCTCAGCTTATGTGTCTCTGCTTTTTCTGTGCTTTGGTACAGAGATCTTCAAGAGTTCATCTACATCTCTCAAGGCCAGATTTACCATCAGAAAGGGATATGGACACTGGATAGATTGGCTTACATTTATATCTGGGTTCTGAGTATGTTGGTTATTTTCTGGTATGTCATTCCCCGAGAAATCTGTAACCTCTTATAATAAAATGAATAATATAAAAATTGATTTTAAATGGTTTATTTGTAGTTTGCTATCAAAGGAGTATTATATGTTCTAAACACCCAGAACCTTAACATGCTTAACATCTTTTCCACCTTTTTGAACAAAGTGGGCTATTTTATCTCCAGTTATAAACCAATTAACAGAGTCATAACCAAGGAGACATTCAAAACAAAGTTGACTGAGTCCGCAGTTAGGATCTCTGAGTGGATGACAGATGTTACACTGAAAGTCAGTGACCAGCATGTCTCACGCTACAGTTGTACTTTTTATAAAACCTGCCTAAATCTCTCCATGTTGCTAGGAGAGGGAGACAAATTACATGCATGCAAAGAAGAAATGAGGTCAGATGGAATTAATAGGTACAAATCAACATAAAACTTGAATGCTTGTATTTTACTGAGAGACATAAATTAATGCTTAGTGTACAAGTACTTACATCAGTACCCAATTTCATAAACATGTGGCAAAAGAAAGCATCAAGCTCCTTCTCGTCTATGTAGCCCTTTTCTAAATGCAAAAAGATAAGCAAAAATAATAGTCACTTATGCAACTATAACATTTAGTATTTATCTAAGTTTTTTAACCTCACAATTTGCAAAATCTTTTATCTTTGGACACTATTTTTGTTGTTCCACAACTGCTAATATCAACCTCCAGAAGACATAGATTTGAACAGTGAACATGTTTCAGAGTAAATGCTTTATGCTGGATGTTTATATTAACATTTAGAAAAGGAAAACTATTAAGTACATATACAAATACACATGAGCTTTACAATAAAATTTAACCCAAGGATTTCTGAAGTTTGGAAAAACTTAACAGATGCTTAAGTATCGAATCCTAGCTTTCAGGGTTAAAATATACCTTTTAGATATTTTCTTTATGTTTCATTATTAATACAAAATAAAGCAAATGCTAAATAGTTCTATTTTATTTTTAAGTAGTTTTTTTGTTGTTGTTGGGAGGATCATTTTGAAAGTGGATAAAACTCATCCTCCCTTTGAGAGAGTGCAGGGGGGTGTACAACAAAGTAATTGAGTAAAAAGGAGCACATTTAGGGAAGACTAACTTTAGGTAGCTGAGTCTCAGCTCATAAGGTGAGACTCATATTTATCACTATATATATGGTATATATTTAAGAAGATCCTCATTTAGGATCTCTGAGTGAACGATGCACATTACCCTGAAAGTCAGTGACCAGCACGTCTAATGCTACAAGCTGTGCTTTTTATTAAACCTGCCTAAACCCACACATACATACACACACACACACACACACACACACATGCATACACACACAAAGAGAGATTGAGAAAAGGGACAAATCTCTTCCCCCACCCTGAATTTTAACAACGTATCAAGATATGTAACACCATCTTGTATATAACAAGTGTGTATAACACCATGTGTATACCATACATCTGTTGAGTATATTACATTAAGTATACTGTATTAACAATGCAAGTAGACAACTTTTCCTACAGGAAAGAAGAAACTCTAGGTCCTTCCAGCAGTCTGGGCGCGGAGCTGCGTCTACACCTGAGTGTGCAAGTGGCTTGCTGTACTCACCATCGGCATCAAAGTGCTGCCAGACCTGCCAGAAGCCAGCGGCGTCCAAGCGCCTCCGAGTAGGTTCGCGGGCGCTGTCCATGGTATTGACCGCGAAGACCAGGAACCAGAGCGCGAGGACCTAAACAACTTTGCTAACGACTTTTTTAAAAAAAGATGATTCCTGACTCCCTCGCCTGCTTCTTTCGCTCTCTGATCAGCTGTGAATACCTGTTGGCAGGGCGGGCGCAAGGGCGTCTGGCCCTGGCGTGGCTAAGCAGTCCCTCAGCTCTGACCGCGGGCTCTCAGCAAAACCAGCTGCAGGATGCCCTCCCCGCTCCTGGCGCGCCGGCCCTGCCCCGCCCTGCGCGCTGTCCTGGCAGATCCGCAGGGGAGCTCCTGTCTGTCTCAGCGCTGTGGGGGACTCAGGAAGAAAGGAGCTGTCTCCGGGCGTCCACGGCTCACTGCCTTTGCCCTTTTAAGTTGTTTGTCAAGCTCAAAGAAAACAATCCTGTTACGTTTGACTCACCTTCCAAACTTGTGTCTCGAGTGGTTTTCTAGGGAGAGCTGCCTCATTTACAGGGTTGGAAGAAGTGTCAGTGTTAGGGCCCTTTGGATCTGAAGATTTAGAAATGTCATGTGAGGGGAGGGAAGGTGGCAAGGAGTGATAGGGCTGGTGGTAAGAGGTTACTGTTAAGCAAGGAGTTAATCAACAGTAAGGAGCCCTGATTGTGTGTGACATGCATATGGCCACACTATCATGCACTATAAGAACTTGCAACTAAATAGAGATACTGCAAGTGATTGTGGTTTAAAGTGGCATCATTAGGATGCTGAGGGATAATTAGGCAGGAAAAGAGAGTTTAGGGGGAAACATGGCTGACAGCAGAGTCCTTGGGTAAAAGGCTTAGATGATTAAGAACAAAGGACAAAAATCATTTGGAGGAACACAGAACTTTCTAATGATCAGGATTGTTCAAAATTCTACTGGATGCTTTGTCAAAGAGTGAACATATTGCACTGAGGGCTTTTTACTACCATCTTAGAACATTTTGTTGGGTAATCTACAGAAAGAGCTTGGATATTAGACAAGAAAGTTGGACTAGATACAGATCTTCTTCATGGCACTCTGACTCTGATATTAACATTCAAATTTATTTATAAAAAGCACGCGTGCATAAGCCTTCTTCTAAACTAGAGCAGTAAAAAGAACATGACACTCCTGGTCAAATAGTCCTGATCAGGATCCCAGCTCCATCACTTACTAGCTTGTGACCTGCATCATTAGTTTTCATTTTTTTCTGAGCCTCAGTTTTCTTATCTATTAAGTGAGAATTATAATATCTTCTTTGGAGGGTTGACATGAGAATTAGAGCCACACATAGTATTGCACAATGAATTATAGCTGCCATGATATATAGGTGATGAGAGGTGGCTGTATTATAAAAAAGAATGGTTTAGAGAAAAGAAAGTCTAAGAAACTGTCATAGCAAAGAAGAACCTATTAAGACTTGACAAATAAATGAAATGTTTTATCCTGTATGGGATTCTGGAACAATAAAAGGACATTAGGTAAAGATTAAGAAAATTTGAAAAAATATGGACTTCAGTTAATAATAAAGGAAAAAAATGTTTAGAAGTAAACAGCAGTGGGTTCAGGGCCCAGCCTTACCTCTTATTAGCTGTATGATATTGGGAAAGTTACTCAAAGAAGCTTCACTTTCTTTGCCTGTAAAATGGGAATAATAGTAGCATTTGCCTTGGATTATTGTCATAAAGGTTAAATGAAAAAATTCCTATATGCCTATTAGCACAGGACACACAGTAAACACTCAATGTAAGTTTGCTAATAAAATGATAAATCTTACACACATACATATTTGGTAGATGGTAAAATAAACTTCAGGGCCGGTCACGGTGGCTAACACCTATAATCCTAGCACTCTGGGAGGCCGAGGCAGGCGGATTGCTCGAGGTTAAGAGTTTGAAACCAGCCTGAGCAAGAGCGAGAACTGTCTCTACTATAAATAGAAAGAAATTAATTGTCCAACTAATATATACAGAAAAAATTAGCCGGGCATGGTGGTGCATGCCCGTAGTCCTAGCTACTTGGGAGGCTGAGGCAGCAGGATTGCTTGAGCCCAGGAGTTTGAGGTTGCTGTGAGCTAGGCTGACGCCACAGCACTCACTCTAGCCTGGGCAACAAAGCGAGACTCTCAAATAAATAAGTAAATAAACTTCAGGATTTTTGAGGAGTGTGTCTTAGGTTAAAAGAGAAAAAAACAATATCATAATTGATGGAGAAAGGGCTGGGTATAATTAGAGAAGAGCATAGTGGGAGTAGAGGGAAAAGGGCTGAGTATATACAGTTATCATAGGTGGGAAATTATTGGATACCATGCCAGACATCAGTCAGGAGGAGTAATCCTTATGAACTCACCAGGTCGATGACTGATCTTGTTTTCTGATAAATAGTGAAAAAAGAAAAAACAAGGCAAATCTCAGAAATAATAATCGAGATCTAATGTCAAGGACTGGCTAAATAAATGATGGTAAATCTCTCTGATGGGCTTTCCTGCATACAAAATCTTGATTTTGAAGCCTGGTGGCACAGAAAAAAATCTCAGAACATAAAATTAAGATTAAAAATCAAGGCACCAAAGTGCACACATAGTTATTATTCAACTCTAAAATATAAAATACATGTTTCTACACATTAAAAATGAAAGACTATATACTAATGATGTTAATGATGTTTATCTCTGGAGTGGGGAAAAGAGAGACTTATGGATGATTTTATAGTAATTTCACTATTTATAATTCTACTTTAAAACTTTCTACAGTAAGCATATAATGCAAACTATTATAATTTTTAAAAGCCACACAAATGAAATCTAGGGAAAGAAGTATAGCTACAAGGATTATTGCTTTTCTCAGGACTGGAGAACAGACTGAACTCAGAACAATTTCTAGGAGCCTGGCATCTGGAGTTCTCTGGGGAGCTGCAATTTCCATGCAATGATTTATTTTCTGTTTTCTGAGTATCCAAATATCTACCATGGCACTAGGTAGTACTGCTAATGTACTTTGCATTCCCTCACATAAAGATTTCCTTTTGAGAAAAATCAAAATCAAACCCTTGACAGAGAAGAGAGCTATTAGGAAGGTATTTAAAGCTACTATATCAGCAGGAGACACAATTAAGACTGTCTCACCTGAAAGATTCCCCTTCCTGGGAATGGAGTGATGAGGATGGGAATGAAAGACCTGCAGGTGATTTACCCGAGACCCTTACTGTCCAACCACAGAACTCAGAGTAAAGCAAATATTCAGCAGCTAGAATCAACTTGAGATACATCATACATCTTATGTATTAATTTAGCCCTTTCCACAGAGATTCTGATTTAAATGATCTGGATTGAGGCCTCTACATTGATATATTTTTAAAAGCTCCCCTAGGAATTATTTTAGAGCCACTGACTAGTGTTTTATCTCTAAGTTTGCTGCTGCCCATATTTTATTTGGGCATGGCTTCTCTGAAGGACAACCCAGGAAAGAAAAAAGCTTCAAAAGAATTAACATTTTTATTAATATCCCATAACTTTTTTATTAATACTCCATCTCTACTTATAAGTCATTTTGGTTATGTTTTGACAATAGACAGCCAAAACTAGAGACTAAAATGAGTTGTTTTTCTTTTTTATTTCTTTTCCTACTGATTTCATTTCCTCCTGCAATCATTTCCTGCTTTTCTCATTAGCATAGGTAATTGATGGTTAGTTGTACAAGAACAGGCAGTGGTCTATAATTTGAAGCATTGCTAATTAACCCTGATGCATGCATTCAATTCTAAGCTAAAATATCTACATCTTTTTACAATCTTAGAATGATATTTCTAACTGGAAATATAAACAATACTCTCCTTGGCATCATCTTTCAATAGTTATTCAACACTCCAGCATGGTGGATACTTCACAGACTATATAGTAGACCTTAGAATTCAAAGAGACATTCTTGGTACAATGCCATGCCAGCTTCAAGTGGCAAAGGAAATAGAACAAAAGAAATTGGACAATGTTTGTCATATGAAAATACTAGAAATAGAGTTAATCCTTTTTTAAAAATATGGCTCTTATTGTTTTCTTTGCAATCACATGAATAGTGCAGATCATTTAAATAATATAGATCAAAACTAAAAAAGAAGGAGGAAGAAGAAGAAAGAAAGAAAGAAAGAAAGAAAGAAAGAAAGAAAGAAAGAAAGAAAGAAAGAAGCGATGGAGAGAGGAAGAAAAAAGAGAAAGAAAGGAAAAGAAAGAAAGAAAGAGAGAGAAAAAGGGAGAAAGAAAAGCTTTCCTCATAATTTCACCACCTAGAGAAAACCAACAATAATAACATGTGGGTGTATGTTCTCCCAATTATTTTTGATATGTATAAAAAGTGAATTATACCACTCTGTAACTTGCTTGTTTTACTTAATATTATGAAGCATGTCATTACATATTCTTCTATGATATCATTTTACTGCTGGTATTATCATAATTTATTTAACTAACTTCCTCTTTTTAGACTTTTAAATAGTCCCTAGGTTTTCACTATTATAATCTGTGCTGTGACAGCTGAATGTTTGCACACTCTCATAATTATATCTTTGGGATAAAATTCTAAACATACAAGTACTGTGCTGAACAATACATAACATTTTAAGTCTTTAGCACATATTCTTAAACAATGGTCTCCCTCTTGATTTCACCAACTTATACTGCTATTAGCAGCGAAGCAGAATACCCCTTTCCCCTCCATTAACAATAAAAACAAAAATACTTTGAAAATCACACAATCTATGAATTTGAAGATGAGAGCTTTGTTTCTTATAAAGGGTTACAGCCTGCAAAGTGGCCATTCTGACAGGCTGGGAAGAGTAGCCACCAGCAAAAACCAGAGAGAGGCACTTCAAGGGAGGGAGAGATAAGACAGAAATTTAAGCTGAACAGGTTAGCCAAGTATACATATTAAATAGGTTACAGGAGGAGCTATGAATATTCATGAAGGTGGTCCCGCCACATGTGTATTAGATAAACAGGCATCATCCATATGATCCATATTCAATTTAGGGTGGAGACTTAACATCTAAATGTATTGTAATCAGGACCTATACATCCAAAGTTCTTTTCAGGACACAAAGGAGCTCAAGTGGGCAGCCTGTGTAAAACCAGTACATGGTCAGTGGTCTTATCAGGAGAAAATTACTGAAATCAGTCTCTCGTCCAATCAAAGCTGTAGTTATAGCTTGTGGAACAGGCGAGTAGGGGTTGGCATCTGATGGTGAAGCTGCAAATTGATTTAATATTGCTTATCAAGGCCAGTGCTTGTTTCACTGCCAGAGAAAAAGAAAAACTGTGGTGGTTAGTATGTAGTTTATTCTATAAGTGCAGGGATATGTCACTTAATATCCTTTCCTGGTACGGCCTTAGGTCTTGTTTATAATTTAATATCTTATTGCCTCAAACAGTACATTCTGTCCCTCTTCTGATCTCTATTTTAACATTAATGTTGGTCAGTTGTTGTGTCTAAACTGCAAAAAGGTGGGGATATAATGAACTATGTCTTATTTCTTGTCCTGTCATGGGAAGGAACTCAGTTTTTTTTGTTGTTTTTTTTTATTTCGGCATATTATGGGGGTACAGATTTTAAGGTTTCAATAAATGCCCATTTCCCCCACTCCCCCCAAAAGTCTGAGTCTCCATCATGACCATCCCCCAGATGGTGCACATCTCACTCATTATGTATGTATATACCCGCCCCCTCCCCCCTCCCACCTGCCCAATACCCTATTACTGTAGTACCTATGTGTCCACTTAGGTGCTACTCAGTTAATACCAGTTTGCTGGAGAATATATCTGGTGCTTGTTTTTCCATTCTTGGGATACTTCACTTAGTAGTATGGGTTCCAGCTCTAACCAGGAAAATATAAGATGTGCTATATCACCATTGTTTCTTAGAGCTGAATAGTACTCCATGGTATACACATTTTATTTTATAATAATAAATACCACATTTATACCACATTTTAGACCACCAAAATATACCACATTTTATTAATCCATTCTTGGATTGATGGGCACTTGGGCTGTTTCCACAGCCTTGCAATTATGAATTGTGCTGCTATAAACATTCGAGTGCAGGTGTCTTTTTTATGGAGTGTCATTGGATCATTTGGGTAGATGCCCAGCAATGGGATTGCTGGATCAAATGGTAGATTCAC